GCCCCCCCCCCCCCGTCCCCTTCAAATTGCTCGAGGCCTCTCAGTTTGTTTTTGCCCCTCTTTTTCTCCCGGTCGGAAGCGGATTGAAAGATTAAAGGAAAGAAATACACGTGCGATTCGCTTTCCGTTGCGCTTTTTTATTCGCCTCCTGTTGCCGATTCTGATCGCCCGGTCAGTTTTCCTCTTTTGATGCGTTTCCCGGTCCTGCGCTCCGTGCGAATTTTCCTCACATGCAGGTGCCTTGATATCGTGCATTTTCGTTTTTCTCTGTTGAGGTAGAAAGAGGCTAGAACTTTATGCTATTCTTCCACGGAGACCAATTTAATTTCGCCACGGTATCACTTTTAACGTCATTATTCCTCATCCCGGGATTTTTTAGCCAGATATTCTGCCGTGCTAAGATAAAATGCCGTATAAACCTTCAGGCGTTGCCAAATTGCCTTCAATAAAATGAGAATTTCCTGGAAAACGTGTGGAAATTTTCCTCCCAATTTTTCATAGAATTTCACTCTCAATTCAATCTACAGTTTCTGAAAATTAAAAGGAAAAATATTTATAACGCTCCTTAAAATTAACATTTTATCGGAGACAATTTGGCAACTCTCGAATGCTTATACGGCGTTCTTCCTTAGCCCGGCAGTATTGTAGTAGGTACCTCGAAGTCTCTGGGAACAATTATTTGCGTCGAACTAATGTATTTGGAATGTTTACGTGATACGGAGTACAATTTTTTTTTTTTTTTTATTGCGCGCGTAAAATTTGTATGATTCCTCAAAAAACATGATGGACCTTATCCTCAACTATGTCAAATTGTACTTTCAGCAAATGTATAAAGCTTTTTACTATTTCTAAAATTAATCTCCCGTTTCTATTATGCTTTCAGGTCGGAATGAACTCATAGCAAGATATATCAAGTTAAGGACTGGGAAAACGAGAACGAGAAAACAAGTTAGCTCACATATTCAAGTATTAGCCAGGAGAAGGCTGCGAGAACTCCAAGCAAAGCTCAAAGTCGTAAGTTTGTTTGTTCTTCATTTTTAAGATATTTTCGAATGTTATTGAATGTACACAAGAAATCGTTGGATGGACCGTCGCGTCGCTCATGTACTGAGCAATGTTAATAGTTCATCTTCGATCCATAGTTTTCAGTTGCGGATCCGATCACCTCGAACTGGTGGAGGAGGGTAAAAATCCTAGGTTCCAGCCCAAAATTTGTTTATCTCCACATATTTCTTTCCTCTCTGCTTTTGCCGTCCTTCTGGCGAGTAGGAGTTGAGCCCTTCAAACGTCATTGGACCACAAAATGAGGGTCTGATCTACGCCCAATCATGTATGGACCTTATTAATTTTTGCAAGGGTCTTCCCTCTAGATTCGCCTGTTGCTACCGACATTTCATAGGTTTAGTTAGGTACAATTCAATTCCGCAACATCGTACAGCACAAGATACAATTCATTCATTGATTTCCAGTTTTAATCTTGACCATTCTTTCATCCATGCGTTAGGAGGCACTTTGTTCATGTATTATGTGAAAGTTAATGATACCCCTCCTCCCCGAACATAATTCAAGTGAATCACTTAATTGTTTTCTTTTTTCCATACCTAGTCTTTGTACCTTGTCTCTATAAGTTACTCAAATTTCACTACAGTTTTGTCTGACATTTTACTTTCTTCTTTCAGTTTTGGCAGCCCGGTCTACAGCCTGGAACATCACAAGAGTAAGTCTAAAATTGTATTTAAGTCATCAATCAAAAGTAACTTTAACTTCATGAAATCACTTGTTCAATTAAAATTGAATACTGAAGAACAATTTTCTGGAAAAGCCATTCTTAAGACGAAGGCACATTATCGTGCTCATAACATTAAAATTTCCAACTAAATGCTGAGTTTTTAGCACCTAATTGAGTGGATGCAGGGTGGCTAAGTCGGCAAGGATAAACCGTGCAAGCCATACAAGAAATGGGGGGGGGGGGGGTGGTTAGAACAACATAGACTGACACGTACTGTAATCGTGGTAAAAAAAATTCAGGTTATTTTTACATTTGGACCGAGTTTAACAGAAAGGAACCAAGCCACATCAGCTATTGCCAAGTTTTACTGGGCAATTGCATTTTTAACGAGAGAACGTTTGTTCGGATTTCTTTGAAACTTTTAAGGAATTTGCTTCGTACCATGGAGAATTTTCACTGAAATTTGCAAGAAAATCCGCACCACCGATGTAAAAAATTAAAGTGCCCAATTAAATTTGGCAATTGCTGATGTGGCTTGGTTCCTTTCTGTTTAACGCGGTCCATTTTACATTTCATCATTACCTAAGGGGTATCTTAGCCGAATCTTTTCATTTCCATCCAAACATGAAAAAATTTTAAAATAAGGAAAGAGAGAGATAGGATGAATGAATAAACTGAAAAATTGGGATTTTAAAAATTCTGTGAACTCTGTAAATGTTGTTAGACTGATTTTGACAATGTCACCCACTCGTCGATCATCATGATAGATCACACCTAAGAGCCTCTTACAAAGGCCTTTAACAGAAATGTAAACTAAATAATAAGTTTTAATATTGTGATGAAGTCTAACAAACATTGTAATTAGACAAGTTCAATCTTGATATTTAGTTATAAGTTTGCATTGTTTGTTGTTCCTTTTACTATTTTGGTTTCGTAATGATAGCTTTCTAACTTTGGCATGTATTTTTTTTTCTAGTGTAAAACCTTTCGCTCAACCAGGCTACACAGGAAGCAAACCGTCAACAGCTGTTTCAGGGAGTGATCTGCAAGCCCCGCCGCCACCCCCTTGGGAAGGACGAGCGATAGCCACTCATAAACTCCGACTCGTTGAGTTCACTGCCTTTATGGAAAATCAAAGAGACGATGAGGTAACTGTTCTCATCCTATCCAACAACACTATACTCTGTTCATCTTAAATATCTTAAAATATCATCAAGCAAGCAATCTTTGAAGTAAAGCAGCATGGGAGATAATTTTTTGGGTGAAGTATCAAAAAGAAAATTCAGGCTGAAAGTCATTTTGTTGCTCACAGCTTGAAACTTCACTGAATCTGTTGTGTCATATCTCTGCATACGGGACTAAAAACTAATCACAGGGATGAAATCTCTCTCATAACTTGATCCAACATGACCATCATCTCAGCCCACTTCAGGAGTTCAAAGTGGGTCTGAAACTTAACTGGAAGAACCGTTGTGTTCCTTGCAAACTTTTACAGCGGTCTAGTTTATGTATTACATGTTCCATGACATCACGAAGTCTTCAGCGTATTATTAAAATGGCTTGCTCTTTGAAATGTTAAATTCGTAACCAAGAAATAAAATGCATATTGTAGAACTTTTCTTGAAATTTTCTTCTCATTGCAAAAAAAACTTTTTTTTTTTTTTTTTAATAATCATTGATCTTTATCTAACACTTATTCTATTCTTTCCTCTCTTTTCAGTATCAAAAACACCTTTTCGTTCATATAAGTGGTTCACCGACATATTCAGATCCATTACTAGAGGTGAGTTGAATCAAGTTTTATCTATTTATCCATCTGGTGATGATCATCTTGAAAGAGTGTTGTTTTATCAATTTTCCATCAACAAATTACAAGAACATTTGCTGTAGTAAAGTTTTAAGTGCTTCTTTTCTTTTTTTCTCCCTAATCATGAAGGTCTAAATTGGCGTCTCATCATTTTTAATTTAATTTTCTTCCCTTAAAAAATGTCTACAAATTCAGACAATGATGTTAACATTGAAAACTGAGGGCAAAAAGCAAGAAATGAAAACTGGCGATAGATTCAAGGCTTTCAACTTTTCATTATTTCATCCGCTAAAGTTTAACAAAATGAGCCGCTGCAAAACAAGCAGTCGCCAGTTGGCCTTGTACCTCTATCTTTTATCATAGATTAGGTCCCTATTACATTTCTGTGTACTGAAGTACATAATACCGAAATAATCCAAAATCAATCATTACTTTTGGACAAATATTTTATTAAGTTTCACGTTCTTTGTTCCTTTAACAGGCTGTGGATGTTCGCCAAATTTATGATAAGTTCCCAGAGAAGAAAGGAGGTTTGAAAGAACTGTATGACAAGGGTCCACAAAGTGCTTTCTTCTTGGTTAAGTTCTGGGCTGATCTCAACTCCAATTTCCAGGACGAAACCGGCACCTTTTACGGAGTTACTAGCCAGTGAGTATCTTTCCTCTGCTTTTTATTTCTGTCCTCTTGCTGCGCTCTATCATGGCATAAATTTCATTAGCCTAAATCGTCATAGAGGAACTTATTGTAACTGTTCATGACTAAAAAAATTTTTTAAGAAAGTGGGGATTTAGAGGAGTAGTAGAACATGGTCCTGTAGCCACAGACCTATGTGAAATTAAAAATCTCTCTGCAGTAATTCATCTCCTAAATGTGAGAAAATAAACCTATTTGCCAGCCATGCATTCTGCTTTAAGAGGAAGCAGCAGTATTAGGGCCAATCTGTAATTAATCAACCAAAGAAGGTGCATATCGACGGTGAAAGTCGGCAATCACATAACTCGGTTTGCGACGTCGCAGACTTCCTGTCATACTTTATTTTTTAAATGGAAAACTACTCAACGGCAATTCTTTAAAACTGTCATGATTTTTCTTCTCAATGCAAAGAAAATTCTGCAAAAACTTCAAGAAATAATATCAATTTGTTCTCCTTTAAAAAAATGACGTAAAGGCGGAGATTTTCAGACACCGCAAACGAGTTATGTGATTGCCGACTTTCACCGTCGATATATTTTGTAACCATTTGCTCTCATTAGCTCAGTATTTTAAACCTTAATTGTTTTTAAATACCATTTTGATGTGATTAGTTCAAGCATGCAGGTCCTGTGCAGTCACAAGTTATGAGAAACACAATATTTTCAACAATAGTAAATTAAAGTATCCCATTTTTTTCTATTTCTTTTTATCTGCCTATTGTCTGATTGCATTTTTTTTAATCTTATTTTTTAATTTGATCTTAATTTCTCGTCTGATTGCAGGTATGAAAGTAATGAGAATATGACAATTACATGTTCAACGAAAGTTTGCTCCTTTGGCAAGCAAGTTGTAGAGAAAGTGGAAACTGAGTATGCACGGTTTGAAAATGGACGTTTCTTATACAAAATCTTCAAATCTCCAATGTGTGAATATATGATTAATTTTATTCATAAGCTTAAACATCTACCTGAAAAGTATATGATGAATTCAGTGCTGGAAAACTTTACGATATTGCAGGTAACGCTCCTCAGAATTTTTCATTTCTTTTTTACCTTACACATTTGACGGCCCTATGTTAGATTCAATTTTCAGCTCACTTCTATGAGGTTGAAATATGTTGAGACTTACATATCTTTTGATACCATAAAATTTTCTCGCAATTAACTCAAAACAGTTTCTATACCAAATACTGAACTGTGAATGTATTCTTTCCTCCTCAACTTTCCTTTAATGATTTATCTTCCAAATTAATAAAAAAAAAAACTGAAGTACCAATCGCTAAAAAAAATGAACGGAAAACTTTATTCTCTATTTTACCCACCCCAACATGTCGGCCCCTGGTTTAAGTGTGCATTCATTTCTTCTTGGATTATCAATGTTGCAGTAACGTGGCAGTTGAAAAGTTAAGTCTAAGAATGGCTTCTGTTTGAATATTCCTGACAGATTTGTTGTAATACATTGTGATTTTATCAATTGCAGGTTGTAACAAATAGAGAAACGCAAGAAACACTTTTGTGCACAGCATATGTTTTTGAAGTTTCAACATCGGAGCATGGGGCGCAGCATCACATCTACCGACTGGTAAAAGATTAACGAAGCTAGTTGTCTTCAATTTCCAACAGTGCCTATTTCATTCTTTAGTTATTAATACCAATAAACAATGATGCAAATTAAATTGTAAGTTAATTTTCGTATTGTAGCCACAAACTGCTCGGCGAGTTTAGTCTGGGACTCACTACAAGCAGCCAAACTAGTTTTCTATTTCAACAAACAATGAAAGAATGCAGTAGCCTTGTATTTATTCAGGAAAAGCTGTAGAAGTCTCACCATCCATTTGGAACTGAACCATAGGTCAAGAACTTCAAAAATAAAGGATGAGTGTCCTGATTTTAAATTATTATTCAATGTGATCACCCCCTCTGTTGAGACAATAAAATATGGCTTTATGCTGAATTAAAGACTTGACAATCTTTGAACCTCAAGATCTCCTAGTTTACTTTATCACCTAAGTTCATTTTTCGGTTTTGAAGATTAAAACAATTGGAGAATACTATTCATTCAGGAATTTTTGAACCGTCTCATCATTTTTCAGCAACTTCTTCACTTTCAAGACTTTGTATGGTATTACTTATTTTTCCTTGTCGTAAACGGTGGTCTATTTATAGCTTTTTACTTACCTGTTCATGCAAGTAGATTGACTTGTCAACATATCTTAAAAGTCAAGCTCAGTATTAAATTTGTGTCCTAAGACTTCCAAACAATTTTACTCAATGATTCAAATTAATAGAAAATTAGGCTAAATTCTCCTGCTGTGCCCAAAAATTTCCACAAGTGCTTCCTGAACTTGCCAGAAAAAATTTATAACCATCACTTCCCCTTCATGAGGAAGTGAGGAAATCAGAGGTGTCATTCAGGGAGGGGTTAGTTTTCGCCTCTAGACCTGAAAATTTCACCTTGTTTGAACCAATTTGATTAATTCTAATGAGTTTTTGAGATTAAAGATGCTAAACTCTCCTCCTCTCTCAAGCAAAGGCTCTTCCAAAAATTCAGCGAAAACGATGGACCTTCCTTCAGACCCTATTCAGAGGAGATTCTTTGTATAATTTGATCAAAGAACCCATGACCTCTACCCTTAGTTACTGGTTATGTTCATCAAAGCTAATAAAAGTTAAAGCTGAACACAGTTCTCTGCTGAAACCAAAACTTTCACAGGACAGAATATGTATCTACCCTCTGAAAATTTGCTTATGATGAAAATCCTGGTATGAATTGTATTTCTTTTTCTTTTTCTCAATTACTTGTTCCGTACCTAGGGATATTTTCATCTCTTTGCTGAGCACAGATGTTAACATTTTACTCTTTATTAGCATTTATTTGTGTGATTCCCCTTCGTTTGATTTCTTCTCATTGATTCATATCAAAAATGTATTGGAGATTTAACTTTTGTTTATTTTGTGTTACCCTTTAATTTTGAAAAAAACTTACTCTTAATCTTGTCCCTAAAATAAGTTCAAATTTTCATCGTTTGTCTCATCTTTACATGTAAGTTTTTTATTCATTACACTCTCTGAGCATGTCCTTGGATGAAAGTGCAACGTACCTTCGTCCAAGTTTTGAAATGGATGATCATTTGTATTTATTTTTTTCTTCAGACATGCACCAAAACTTATTTTAATTTGTAAATGTACACTTGATTGTCAGGTTAAAAAGGCCCTGTGTGTACCCTTGCACAGGTGCGGCAAACTTCGTTGTCTCTCCCGCACCAAGGAATGGATCCCGCTAACGCTGTTTCAGTATTTCTTACTTACATTTTATTTGTCTACAGGAAAGCTGTCTCATGAATTTTCCTGAAATTTCTAGTTATTTGTTTTACTTATAGCAGAATAGATTCTGGAATTTTGAAACTAATTCAAGCAACCCATGAAAAAATAAAATGGTAGTAGAAATACTGAAATATCGAGGTAAGATACATTCCTTTGCGCAGGAGTATGAAGATTTATATAAATTTGGAGATTTTACCATTGGACAACTCTCTGCAACTTTCTAATTTTATCTGTGTCCAAAAAAATTGAAAAGCTACTCAGCAGTGTGGGTATTTCCTTCATCTTTTCACCCGAAGAAATGTCCTGTTCTAAGAATTCATTAACAAAGTGTTGTATCCATGAACCGTTAAGAGTCAGATAATAAGAATTCCTGTCGAAATAAAAGTATTATACGTAGGTTCATTCTTCTCAGGTTTGGAAGAAGTTTTTGTTGTTCACAATTTTTGAAGGGATTTGAGAACACTTTTTTTCACATATTGGATTAGCAAAGCTCTCTATCATGAATTTTCTTCAGGAAGGTCAAATGTCCGAGGGATGAAAATAGATGTCTGCCCTTTGTTCCAACAGGACTTGCAACTTTCAATCTTGTAGGCATACTTCTGAAGCACTGGTATTAATGAGTTCCCTCTTACCAACACTACTTTCAATTTTTATCTATAAAAGTGCACTCTTTTTTGATATTTATTTAACCAAATGATCGCTGAATCTTACCTTTAAAAGAAACTAGGAGAATAAACACGATTTTTGCTCGCTTAAAACCCAGGCACATCTCTGAGAGAATTTCCCATCAGCAGCATATATGCTCCCTCAGGAGTTGAAAAATTTTCTGCATCTTCATGGGTGATCATCATTTTATTTTCTACACCGAGTAGTAATAATTCTATGTCGTTTATTACATATCAAATCAAGGTCACCAACAAATAACTTCCTCAGTTTTCTACAAGTGAAAAATTCAGCCAGTACTCCAGTAGAATGAGCATGCTTGTTTATTACCCTCCCCAAATGAGACTCCTAGATATGTGTGAAGTTCTTGTTAATTCAATCTCCTTCAAACATTTTGTTGCCTGCATCAATCTCGTAGGATTTTATATCAAGTTAACCGGTGTCATCACCCGCTTACAGACGAAGTTTTGGTGAATGTCCAGGCTTATTTCGCCATGCGCAGTTTTGTGGGGAGCGTCAATATGAGGTTTAAATGATTGATAGTGGTTCTTAAGACTTGATCTCCTTTAATTACAATCATTTTTGCTTCATGTTGATATCAATGTATTTTTGTAACCTTTCCCCCCTTTTTTTCTTTCTTTTTCTTATCCTTCCTCGCTCTTAAAATGCTAGTGTCTCTAATTTTTTGGTGTTTTTGTGCTAATTTGAAGACTTGCTGCATTGTGTCAGAACTGCTGAATATTTGATGCGGATTTTTATTTTCTTTTGGGAACCTCAGCCACTTCTCCAGTTTCATCTGCTCAGAAACAAAGCAGTTCAGATGGTTTTCAAAGAAAAATGATCAATATTTCTTTTGTCACAAATTTTTTATACATCTTCTTATCTTAATGCTGATTTCATTGCTATCCAGCAATGCCAAATGTGGGAAAGTATCCACAAAAAATTATCATGCACTGTTTGTTGTTGCTTTCCAGTCACCAATTGGTCATTATCATCAATCAATTGTGATTTGTTATCTTTAACAGAACCTCTCCGATTTTTATGGATCATTTATCATTCTGTCGTTGGTTTTTATTATAAACTGATTGTTGTGCCGTTTATTTATGCCAAAATTTTGGACAGCCACGTATTTTAATCAATTTTAATGCCTCTTCAAGATTCATTTTGTATTTTAAATTGTGCTTCACTTATTCAATGGAATTTTCCAGGTAGCATAAGTCATGATCTCTTTGAGAGATTGTAATGCCTGCATTGAGTTTTCAGTGGCAGTTTTACACTTTTTGAGAGTGGATTTGTAGTCGATTAGAGAACAAGGTGGTCACAGTCTGGGAAAACTAGGATAAGTTATGAAGAAAAATTGGGTTTTGCCAACTGAGAAAATTTAAGAAGAAGAGCAAAATGACTCCCAAAGGCGGAAAAATTTTATCCATGGATGAGGCAAAATTCTTCGAGTTTTATAAAGCTCAATCTTGTCCTCTACTTGATTATGAACAATCATTCTGGATTGTCTCAGAAGTCGAGGAATTTTCTCCACGTTTACAGGAGAAAACCTGGAGGACTTCAGGAACTCAAATCCTGAATTTCTGTGGCCACCTATCGAGCAGTTTCGAGAAGAATGATCTTTTGCTACCTAAAATCTCAATTTTATTTCACCTTTTTATTAGTATATGAACGTATACAACTTTTTTTGAGCTCTGTACTTATTCTGTTTTTTTAACTTAAACAAACTTTTACTTTTTTATCATTTTAATCAATCTACCTACTGAACTAGCCACCTTTTATTTCTCTCGAAAATGATTTTATGCAGACACTATTATAGTGGAATTTAAGATTTTCAAGTTGAAGCAGGGAAGAAATGGAGCTGCTGTAAGAGATGTATCAGAATAACTGTGAGTGTCATTTTCCATTATTTTATGAACTGAGCAGTTCTTTCAAGTGAGCTCATTATCACCATGAGTGTGGATGATTCATGGTGAGAAGCGCTGTTGCATGTAAATGGCATCAATTGGCAAAGCAAGGATTAAATTGTGGCTGTCCGATATTAACTCATTTCAACTCATTCTCATCCTGCAACGCACATTTTTACCTTATGATACTTTATCTTATATTTCAGATCAAAGTTTAGTACTTAAAGGAACATTTAAAATCATTGTGAACTTCCTTTTACTTTAATTTATCATATCTTCTATGAAGGTGATTTTGAGTTTTTTTCAACTAGTATCTCAGTTGTAAAAATTTTACAAAAAGAAATTATATAGTATTTAAAAGAATTATTTGTACATATTCAGAGAGATTTATATTTTAATTTTTATCAAAACCACTTCAGATTCTCATTTATTTGATTTTATTGTACATAAATATTTATTTATTTACTTGTTTGTGCGTTGCGTACTCTAATTTGTCGACAATATACTGAAGTAATCGTCTTGACCTCATCAAAGTTTCATGTATACCCTTTTTTAAACAGAGCTAGCAATTTGCATACAACTAGAATTCTAAGGGAAGAAACTTGCAAAAGGAGAGTTACAACAATGATACCTACCACTTGTCATTGATATATTTATCATTAAAGACAAGGAAAACAGTTACGTATGGCAATTAATAATTCTTTCTTTTAGGTCTTTTGTCTCAACTAACTAATTTAGTACTAGACGAAAATTTGATGATGTCAGGACAGTGCAGTCCAGTTAATTTAGATCGTGTCTTGGAAGAGGAGTGTGACTGAAGGGTATGAGAGGACAAGTTTTGCAAAAACTTTTTTTCTGGTATCAGTCTGAGTTGAAGTATAAATACTGGAAAACTGCTCCATTTCTTGTGAGTCCGAGCATGTCACACCCCTCTACAAATGCTAAATATTGTAATATAATCCGCAGAATTTTCAGAAGCCACCTTTGTTTTATATTTAATTCATTCTTATATTCTGGGAAGTGAGGAAGTTTTAAATCTGTTTTATTTATTTTAATTTTTATGTATTGAAACAACGTACACCATGTAGGTAACTAGATCATCTACATTGTGTGCACATGTTTTAATTTTGAGTTGTATTTTTTATTTTGTAATAAATGTAAGTTTATCATGAATATATTTCCAGTTTTTGCAATTTCCATTGACCCTTTTAGTCTTGTCGCTTTATTCATAGGGCTCAGCCCAATGAAAAGGATACAAGTGAGAAATCAGAAATGACGAAGTCACAGCAGGGGTGTTCTAACAAATCTTTGTCTGTAGGCCATGAGTTATTGCTTGTTTTAAAATACCGATCCACTCCGGTAAGACCACACAAGGGGGTGTATTGGAACTGTGTGGCCTTTACTCAATCCTGGGCTTTTGTTGAACAGCAGCAGTCACCCAAAAACAGAAACCAAAAATACCCGATTTGCTGCTTTAGTGTTTGACTCACATCACTGATGTGTGGATAGATGCAAAACCATCAAATTTCTTCTACAGTTGGTTCTTCTGACTCATAAAAAATGTAGATATATAGGGGGAAAAAAGGAGAAAAACAAATATGCATATTTGGTTTATTACAAAATAAAATTTTTTACATGCAAATGTGTTCCCTACTTACAATCTTTTTGAGTAATAATGCTGACTTTTGTTTTAGATGGAATAAAGAAAATTATTCTCCTGAAAACACTGCATCAAATCTTAAAAATGACTCTGTTTTTCTCTCTCTTTTCCAACTCACTTGCAACTAAGGCAGTTGAATCAAAACAGCAGTTTCTCTTGTGACTCGAAACAAATATTCCCCAACTAAGTAGATGGAGTTCAAGGGAGTTTATTCAAATTACTGCGTAGGTTCTTGATAGAAAAAGGATTTTAGTCCTTAGTTACAACTGCAATGTGATAGAAAAGAGGCTCAAGTCAAGTGTCCTTTGAGGGAGAGAAAAGTAAAATTAAAGCATTATCATATAAAATCAAATTGAGGTACCATTTGGAGCCTATTTTTTTTTATTTTCATTTTTAATTTTTAGAAAATTGGGGGTGGATGTACTCTTTAAAGTTATGTTAACTAACATTTTTGAAGTAAGTACATCGTTTGATAATAGTTCTAGAAGCCTTTTCATTCGATAATTACCTTTAGAAACATGATTACACAATACTCATGACACCAATGCAGATTCTGGGTTATGTCAATCGATTATTTTTTGGCAGATCAAGGACCGCTTCTTGAGAGATAAAAAAAGTAACTAATGAAAATTTGTCATTTTATAGATCCTCTCTACAGCAACACTCATGTGGATTTGAAAAATATAATAAATGAAGAAACTTCCACACATGACTAAAGTAAAACAAACATAAACGATTTAACTTGAACGGCGATTCAGGTTCTTTAACAACAGGATTTAAAATTTCAGGAAGATGCTTTTTTGGCATTCTTTTAGTTTGAGAGCATAAAACAAAAACTTAGAGTGACATCAGATATCATGATGCTATTCCTTGTAGGCTGTCATTTCAATAAAATTGAACACATGGTAAGGAAACATTAAACAAGAACTGCTATGATAGGCAGTGCAAAATCTGAGTCAAGGAAGCTGCAGCTACATTAAGTATTGATACTAAAGAAATCCAGTTACTTTCACATTACTGGGTGGCAAATATTAGACATTACAAGACTGTTAAAGCTAAACAAAATTTTCTATGATGATTACCAACCACCATGATTTACTGGATTGTATTTATTTTCATATTAAATTAAATTGAAGGCAGCAACACTTGGTCAGAGGGAAATTTTCAAAATAAGGAGTCCAAACGGAGCAATCAAACTTTCATCATGAAACAAAGATATGGACGGCAGTGGGAAATAACTAATCCAAAATTCATAATTAAGGACCGTTATTTTTTAAAAAGATGCATAGAAGCAGCAACCACAACTTGTATCCAAGGAGACTTGAATCAGTGAACAGTTACAGATCAAATGAATTGCTTATTCAACTCCTGAACACCTTGTAAGGTATGCATTAAAACAGGGGCAATAAACTTGTCTTCTTAATTTGCAAGAAAAAATACAATAATGAATAATCAATTTTTCACAGACAACGAGACATGTTCTCTGCCTCTTGACCTATTGGCAATCAAACGAAGCATCATACGTCACATCTGTACAATGACACAAGTTGTAAGGAGAAAATCAAAGTAATTTTGGCAAGTTTTTGTTCTCTCAAACGCTTTCATTACAATTGCTTGAAAAAATGTGTCACGCCTAATGCGCAAAGTCAACAATTTCAAACAAGTGGCAAAGATGAATTTTTGCACTCGCGTCAGAAGAGAACAATAGGAGAAAATGAAAAATTGTGATATCAAAGCTTCAGTTGTAAGATAAACAAGCATACATAACACTCGCTGAGACTTGCCCGATTCACATACTCCTGACAGTTCGTACTTTACTATACTGACTACTGACTTTGATTTTTGGAATTATAAGGTCGCTTTCAAATGCTTCATTCTCCGATCATAAACTCATTATTTACGTTAAGACTCACAAATTTTATCTGCCAAACACACAAACTAGTGCTCATAGCTTTCCTGAGACTGGACAAAAAGAAATTCCCGCTTTCCGAAATTTTGAGATCAAAATTCATGATTTGTCAAACTCAAAGTAGCTCAAAAAATAAAAGAAAAACGAGATAAGGACAATACAAAACAGATAAAGAAATTTTCCTACTTTAACTAAAAAAAACTACTTATAAATAAATTGATACCGAAAAAGAAGAGTTTGGTAACATCTAATTCAGGGATACGACACTTATTCCCAAATTGAAAAATGATTCATCTTGCCATGTGGTAATTTCTCATACAGGAATATTTACTTCAGTATAAGCTCACATGATCAAACAAAAGTAAACAAATATAATCCTCAGACGCGTGTGTGAGCAAAGTAAGAGTACCATGCAATTTTGTAAGACCATCACCTCCGTTATTGACTGTGAAGGAACGAACATGCTGATTATTGTCACTTTGACAGAGTAATTTAGACGATAATGTCGATGGCCTGAAATGTTCGCAGAACCCTAAAGCTAACTTTGGATTTGAGATGTTGAATCAAAATATGTAATCATAATTTTCTCAAGCCTCTGATTGACATTCAAACAACCTTCGTTTTTTCCAGATGATTAAATATTTATTGACTGATACATCTCCATCCGTGAGACTTTAACACAGGCAAATTGAAAATTTTTCAAATGAAAAAGTTATAGACACCCCAAACTTGGAAATTTCAAACTCTAAAATAAATATGAGCCGAGATACATTTAATGCAAATGATTCATACATTCTCTTTGCACAATAGTGTAAGAACAAATTAATAATTCACATCACATAAATAATAAAAATATCTCATTTAGTTGCTTGGCATAGTTTTTTAAGATTGACATCTGATGACAAAAAAATAACGAAAAATGTACTTAGGTATCCACTGATTTTACAATTCAGAGCAAAAAAATTAACTCCTAAAATTCATAGGAATACACAAAATTATTTTACTGCACTTCCTTCTTTCGATGAACTATCAACTAGAACAACTTTGAAAAATAATGGAATAGTGTTTCACTTTTTGAAATCTTGGCCTTCTTATTTAAAGCAAATTTTTTGAGTGGTAGACACTCAAAGAAAGTCCAATGAATAACATTTAATTAAAAAAAAAAAAAAAATCTTAAAAAATAAAATGAGGAGATTAACAAGTGAAAAAGTTGAGTTTTTAGACTGAAAAATAAAAAAAGGAACCATCAATTTTAGACTTGGTGGCTAGCTCAAATCTTTTCTTCAAAGCGAAATCAACTGGCCTCCTGCGGTTTCAGGTTGTACACAGCAAACGTTCACAGATCAATAGACCTATGAGCTCGAATTCTTGCTAAGATGACTGGAACCGAATTCATTGATTTCCTTGAGGTGAAAATGAACAATAACAAAACTAAATAACATGACATTAGTCCTCTGCAAGGTTTGAAGCAAAGGACTGGAACAAAACTCGTCAGATTGGGTGTGCTACTGTAAGAACTTTGATTGTGGGTAAAGTAGGCTGGGTGTCTTTCACAGTTGTTAATGTACAATTTTTTATTGATCTCACTGCTTGGGATTTATTCTTTTCCTCGAACTTTTCTATAAAACAAACACATAAAAAGAGCCATTGAGAGGCAACACTTACAGAAAATTAGTAAAAATATCAGCGTCGAAACATGAGGGTGCTTTATCTAGGTTTAAGGAAGTTTGATAGTTTGCACAGGTAAAACAATGATTTTTGCAGCATTTAATGTTTACTAATCCTAATTATGAAGGTTTTAGGCCAAGCGAGAAATTGAGATCGTACGGGGCTTTAAGTATCAATATTTTCTCCCCTTCTTTGGTGATGGAATTAGAGAAAATTTGCCCCCTATACTATTGTAGGTAGCACTTCCAGCATTGAAATTGATGGATACATAAATAACGCACTTCTAGCGTTAGATTTGATGGATACTTAAATTCTTGGATTACTTTTACCTGAGGCGATGAGAACCAATAGATATATAAAAAAAAGAAAAGAAAAAGAAATAAATTATTGAAATAGAAAAAAAACCATCCAATTACAATTTGAATATCAACAGCCTCAGTCGAAAAGTTTAAAAATTCGTTGCCATATGTTATTTTTTTTTATTTTGCTCCATTCTTCTTATAGGAAAATTTAACCAAAGTACTTCCTTAAATATTTCTTTAAATATTTTTGAGTGAGAGAGGATAAGTCAATAAGGAAAAAATGTTCGTTTGTTTTCTTTTAAAAAATTAAGCATGAGTGGAAACTTGCAACTTTGTAAATTAAGATAAACATTTTCTGACTGAAGCTTTTAACATTCCTCAATTAATTTCTCGAACTTTCTTGACTATCAATGATAGTATTTGAGCATTTTTTAAAGCCCTGCCAGAGACAAATCATTTTCAACTCTTGTTCAGGAAACCCGCCCTAGATAAAATGTGTCCTAACATAGTCTAGCATCTTGAGTTTCTCATCGAAATTTTGAGTTATTTGAAACTACTTGATCTCAATTTTTTTTTTTTAGTTAGTTATCTTGAAAATTAAAACACTTAAGATTTTTTTATCATAAAGATAAAAATAAACAAGGAAAAATACAAAAATAAAGCAGAATCGTGCATTAAGATATGATGGTTTTTACATTGATTAAAGTCAAAATTTTAATACAAAAATGTTTTGGGTCATAAAACTATACACCTACTTCACAGAAAATTCTACAAAAATACGGAAAAAAAAAACGAATCAAAACGTAGACAGGAACCTGATCAGCAATTACACATTACTTGTCAAGAATGGGTCAGTTGTGCTGGTCTAAGAATCAGGTTTTGATGCTTGATACTTATCGATCAGCTGAAAATATTAAGGTCCGTCCAAACAGCAACTGTCTACGTTGAATATTAACGAAGATATGACCCTTAGAAAAATTCAGTTCATGACATCATCCACCGCAGTAGGGACACCCTTGGTTTCTTCCACCTTGCTTTCAATTAAGTTACACGTTGAGTAACCAGTACAAATGTGCGTTTCCCTGACAAATGAAAGCAAGCAAGTGTGTCACTACTGCGGTGAATAACACCATAAACCGAATTTTTCAAAGCACATTATCTCGGTTAATATTGAATGTAGAAAGTTTCTGTTTGGACGGATCTCAATATTTTTGGCTGATCTACTAGAATCAAGCATCAAAACATGATTCTGTGACCAGCGCAACTGACCCATTGGTTACCTCAGAAACTATCTAAATTCAATGAGAGGATCACCAGATAATTTGAAGATTCTTGTTTAAGGTTGATAGACTCATGTCAGTCAAGTAACAAAATAACCTTTTGGATCTCCTGATCTAGGGCTAATTTCCCCTGATTCGCAATTCCACTGTTTCTTAAATATTAATTCTTATTTGGCCTCTCCACTTCTGCAGTTCCCCCAATCCACATAAAATCAATGTTATCAGATCTGAAATTTTTGGCAGGCTAAGAATACTGCCATTTCGCAATTATAATTCAACTCAATTCAGCTATCTGACTGATCTGAATCTATCAACTTTGTAGATGGTCCTCTGACCCTTACTTTTTCATCAATTCCAAAGTACATTTTAGACTTATGAGATAGCCAGAAATCCTATCAATTCTTGAAAATTAAAAAAAGTTCATGCTTTTAGAACACAATTGAATGACTCAATAGAAACTTCCTCAGATTTATTCTTTTCTTAACCACTGTTTCATTTGATTAATTATATCGTCTGTGTATGAAAGCACAGCACACAGATAAAAATATAGTGAAAATAAACCAGAAATTACATTCATTAAATGAACCAGTTTTTTTTTTAAAAAAAAAGAACATTGTAACTCTTCAGTCACCTCAGTCCTTCAAACCTTCAGCTCTTCAAGAGTATGAAATCTGAGAGATCTATGGGATCAAAGGTGCAAACCCTTCTTTGCTTGAACATTCTTTAACGCAGCTCTCAAATAATCATGCACCGTTTACAATGTATATCACTCTTTTCTATGCAAAAAAACAACACATTGAACAGTTTCCTGCACTAAAATTAGCAACTCTTTGCATAATTCTACACTTTTGAATGAATGAACAGGTGAAAATCCCACAATTTTCACATTTTTGCTGTCATACCACAGTGCTCTTCTTCAGCAAAAGTTTAATACTTTGAAGGAAGGATGTGACTCGAAGTAGGTAACCAGAAAGGTATCGGTATCGGAGTTTTGCCCTTGAAAAGTTAAAACCTAAAAATCCCAATCAAAGTCTTCTTTGAGAAAGATAAAAAATTCTGAAATTTGGTAGAAACAATATTGTCAAATAAGAACATGAGGGTTTATTTTCAAGCAGCTGATAGGATTTGATTCGCAATACCTGCTCAACAAGAGCACAGAATCTTTTGAACAAAAATCTTCACAAAACTGACGACAGTCCTAAACTACATTTAAGGTTACTAAATCTCCATCAGTACCTAATTTTTCATACTTAAGTGGATTTCCAGCTGGAGAAAACATCGAACAGCGAAAAATATTTTACAGAAGATTTTGGATTTGTTTAAATGCCTACATTCAAATTAACAAAATAATATCCTAATTGATGATCGGAACAAGTGTTAATAGAACAATTAATTTTGACTTAAATGATTCAACTTAAACTGATTTAGAGAATTGATTCAAATCAGATCACATCAAGTTCAGAGCTGCTTGGCTACTTGTGCTCAATTTGTTGTCCCCCACACGAAGGAAGTATCTCAATTGCGCTATTTCAGTAAGCCTTACTTACATTTTATTTGTTCATGGGAAAACTGTCACATACATTTTTCTGAAATTGATAAAAAAATTTATTTGTCTTTTTGAGAAAAGACTTGGAAATTTTGAGACTAGTTCAAGCTATGGTTTTCCCTTAAAAATAAAATGTTCGTTCCAATACTGAGACAGCCCAGACAAGATATGTTCCTTCATGCGGGAGACTTATACAAACTTTGAGACTTTACTCATGGATGACTCTCTGTAAAACTCATTTCATCCCAGTCCAAAAATGTTTTTAGTGGTTAAATTTTATAATAAAAATTTTATGGTGATGAAAATGCCAAATTTTCAGAAAAATTGCTACTATTTCCACACAAGTGCCAAGCCATGCATGTAGTCCCATAAATTTGAGCGTTTTATATAAAATGAATAAATTAATATGATAAAAACTAACAAAGTTTAAGTTGAATCATTTCAATTAGACTTAACCAAGCGATTAACCCATGGAGGGGCTATCTGTTCCACTGCCACTACCTCCGCCTCCTGCACTGCTTTTGCTAAGAAGTCCAGAGCCTCGCTTCCCACCACTTTTTGATAGTGTTGCAACTTCTTTCTGAAGACTCTTGATTTTACCACTCATGAACTCGACTTTCTTATCATACTCGGCTGATTCTTTCTGCATTCTGTTACGTAGCTCAGTTGTTTCAGTAAAGTGTTTGGCTTTCAAGTCAGTAATCTGCAAAGGGAGAAAAAAATTAATACATTAATAAAATTATACAATACAGTAAAATATACTAAAATAGAGGTGTCGTCAGCTAAGTTGACGGTTGTTTATTTTCCGTTTGCGGGCACTTTCGTGTCACTACTATCCACATGAAAACATCCGACTCTCTCAGAGGCAAGAACACAAGCTTAAATAAGTTTTGTAATACTTTCAAACCTTGTAACACTTTAATTTTTAGCCCTCACAGAAATCATAACCACATAAAAGTCGCGAATTAAAACTGATAAGTAGTTTGTTTACGATACGATCATGAGGCAGATGTTTTTAAGGTGGATAGTAGCGAACGCTGCTTTGTTTAGAGGCCCAAATTCGTCGTTGACACTTGCAAACCGAAAGTAAACAACCGTCAACTTAGCTGACGACACATCTACCATCTCAATAAAACTGACGAGGAACTTTAATTATGTTAAACTGCAAAAAAAAAAAAAAAACAGCTTTCCTGGGAAGCTGCAGGATTGTACATCCAGTTATCAGCAATGACCAATACAGTAAAACTTCAGAAGGTAAACACAAATAAAAATTCAACAAGGTATTTACATCTTTGAAACTTTTGAATTCGTAAGCTATTTAAATAAAAATTTAGAAAAACATGAGATGAGTCTGGTTACTCCTAAAACCAACTAAACATGAATCTAGTTTAAAACCTTATGATATCTAAAGCCTGAGTTTACTTAAATCTTGTCATTAAATCAATTACTTTTAGTCAATTTAATAAAAGATATTGAAAATAGGAAAATACTAAAGATCATCTCCTGAGGAAGAAATCAGCGTTTAAAGTCAACAATAGAATCAATAAATTTTACACTTTTTGATCACAAAAAAAAAAAAAACCACAAGCAATTCAGGTCCAAGCAGCCCCTGGAAGTTTTGAAAGTTCAGCAAATAATTGGAGTTTGATTCCGCACAAAGTTCGGCTCTCCTATCATACCTACACTGTAATTTCTCAACTAACTTCTAATGAAAAATCATTAAGAAAGGCCATTAAGAAAGGAGCTTATTTCAACATAAAACATGCCAATAATTTAATTCAGTGACTGCTTGGACTTACGTAGACTTTCTTTTGATTTTACACGAAATTTTGATGAGGAAACATGTGTTGTGATCTTAAATTCCTGCCCAATCTGATGATCCATCATCGAGTAATAATGGTCGAATTTTGTTGGGCGTAAAAGCATACCTGTTTGGTTACAGTGCAGGACGTTCCTGCTTTGTATGAGCATCACTATGTGAGAGTCAGAAGGGGTCACTCAAGTGGAAAAATTTGATGCACAACATTACAGCATTGTTGTAACATTTTGTTCTGACAATCACAACATGCTCTGAGCAAGTTCCAAAAATTGTTGCAAGATTTTTAACCTCACTTTTCTTATACTAAGTAAGAGCAACACCAGAGACAATGGTTCTGAAACATACATTCAACAGTCACATTGAACAAAATACGTCTTTTATGAGATATGCTGCCCATACGGTAATGTGCATATACATTTGCCTTCATGAGTTATCTTCCAATGCATTAAACAAACTAGTTTATACTCATACTCCTGCAGATAAAATTTTTGAAATGTTTAAGAACCGAAGTATTTTTGTTTTTTCAGAAACTGGTTGCTTACCGTTTTATCTTTTTCTCTGAGAGCTAAATTCTTCTGGGTGACCTGCTTTTGGAGGGAAGCCATTTGTTCTTTGAGTTGGGTGATAGCAACAACGTGGTCCGAGGAGTTTGGATCAAGTTCTGGTCGATGATTGGCAACTTTTTGAAGTTTGGCTGGAGGTGGAAGACTACCTAGTGAGTCATTGCCACCTATTCCTGAATTATTGTTGTCACCACCGTGGTTCAATTTCGTGACATCAACCCGCTTAGGTCGTCGACTATGACTTCTATTCCTGCAATCAAGGAAAATCTGTCATTAAGAAAAATATACATTGAAATAATATAAGAAAGTTATTTTGCCTAATCTTCAAAAGCTAAGGATAAGAATTGAAAAATATGGTGAACACCTCCTTTATCATTCAAGTGCAAAATGCACATACCACCCATTTGCCATTCCTTCTTTCCCTCCTTTTCAATATTTTTTTTCCTCCACCTCAGTTAACGTTTTCCTTTCTCATCACCTTAAAAGCCTGATGGAAACCTTCTTGACTTCCCAGAAGATCTGTAAGGGGCCGTGCCCCTGATTGTTAAAAAAAGCAACTTAATTTGACCAAATTTCGAGTCCCTCGGTAGATATTGAACTCCATTTTTGATAGAATAGAAGACTCTAATTGGACTTAATCAATTCAGAACTGAGAAAAAGAGGTGTGAAGTTTTGATCCTCTATAAAACTTATAGTAAAAGATAAATTTCAATGCCTATTTATTTTCACAATTCAACAATTTTTCTTGACTTTGAATTTTTAAAAAGCAAAAAATTGGGAGGAAAAACATTGATTTGGTTCCTTTCTGGTTTAAAGCAACTGTTGTTTGAAAGAAATTTCATACACGCGTTGCACCAATATTACTGTATTAAAAATTTACATGCCAACNGATTTTATTTACCTTAGGGAGGCACTTAGGTCGTTTATATGGTTCTTTGCAGAGATTTTTCATACAAAAAATACATTTTAAAAAAAAGTTCATTGAAATCGGTTGAGATGCGGCGGAGATATGAATTTTTAAAGGTTTCCACTTTAAAAAATGGCAACGTCGCAACCCGGCGCTTCTAAGCAAAACGGCGACCGGTTTTGGGTGTCTCGAAAGCTACTGTATCACCCCAAGTGATCAAAATTCGAAAATGCCTTGAGGCATTTTTGGCCGTTTTTTCACACACCTCTTTCGATGCCTATTTATTTTCACAATTCAACAATTTTTCTTGACTTTGAATTTTTAAAAAGCAAAAAATTGGGAGGAAAAACATTGATTTGGTTCCTTTCTGGTTTAAAGCAACTGTTGTTTGAAAGAAATTTCATACACGCGTTGCACCAATATTACTGTATTAAAAATTTACATGCCAACCAACTTTTGAGGAGTTTTTAAAATAAGCCTCAATAATTTCATTCTCATTGAGAACAAATGCTGCCGCTGACAAACCAAAAAAATCATTGGTTGTTGACTAAATAAATTCCCTATTTTCCTTGTTCTTATTTTTTTTTTTGGTGAAATTAAAACCATTATGGTTGATTGATGACTGATTTTTGGAAAAAAGATACATATTTATAACCGATTACCTTCCATCTTTGTTCTTGGAGGAACGTTGAGCACTCAGTTTCATCTGAGCTCTTCTCTCAGCATCTGTCTGCTTAGTTTTGGCGAGAGCTCGTTTAAAAGAAAGCGTGCAGAGCCAGCACAGAAGTTTCCCATCCACCTGCTAAAAATAAAAATAGGTTGTGTTATGATGAATATCTTGTTCTAGAGAATTATTATAAGTGCCATCAGATTTTGAGCATAGCTGACGTTCTTTTTCTAATTCAATTGTAAAGCTTCCAAAAGAGACAATTTGGATTTGTTCATCTAGAGTAAAAACAATTGATATTTGGCTGGTCTCATGGTCCCATTCCCCAAAAAATTCTGGGATCACTTATTTTGCTGATTTAGCATATACCTATTTGGACAATATTTGACAGTAAGCATTGAAATAAGGACCTTGAACATAAAACTTCATCATACTAGCTTCAGAGTTATTTTATTGTCAAAACAACATGAGAAGAGCAAATTTTTACATATAATTAAAAATCTCTTCCTTTTTCAGTTCCAGGGAAACNTGGTTAAAAACATGAAGAAACATCACAATTTTTAAGAGTTTCTTACTTGCATAGGATGGATCACTATTGATTAGGGCAATTGGAAACTAAGGATAAATCTAGGGCTCAGGCCTTCACATCCCCCCCCCCTCTCCAAAGGGTACTTGTAAAACAATTTGAGACGCCCCTCTCCCGCAGGTGCCTAGTGTAATTTATGGATGGTCCCTCATGAAATGTGTATGATGTCGTTTAAACATTCAAGGTAATTCAGTACTTTTGAAATGCCTACTTCATTAAGGCCTACAGTTACTTTTTGTCATACGAAGAATTGAATCAGGAGAAAAGTTCAATATAATAACAATTACTAACCTTCTTGTCATCATCCTTGCGATCAAATGCACACTTCTGTTTACACTGTTCACAAGTGATTGGGGGCCCATATTTCCGCTCAGAATTTGTACAGCGCTGACACTTATTTCCGATGAATGCAGCGATTATGTTACAGTACTCACATGCAGATGGCTTCCCATATGATTTGACATTCTGTTCGCATTTGGCACAGATTGTGCTAGTGGTAGTTTTACTGAAAACAGAAAGACAAAAATTTAAGTAGGAAAATACTTAGGTCTTATACTCCATGGCACTTCGATAGTATGCATAATATTCGTAAGAATTGTGTACAAATACTTAGTGTATTCAGAAAATTGAAAAGGTTAAAGTTTATAACAATTTTTGAGTGATTTGCAGCAGTTGAAGAAAATAATGCCAATGTACGCAGAATACGTAGGACTGAAGCCGTGTGTAACAACTACGAAGTAGAGCAGACACATCGTATGTTGGGACAAAAGTCAAGTGTATTGTTTAGGTCACCACGCACTAGTAGTGCCATCTGACTGCATGTATTAACCTGTTGAGTGGTGCTGATTCGGCGGTAATTAGAGATTGACATTTGTCTCCAGATACGATGCGTCCGCTCTAACAGTCTTTACTTTGACCTTTACTTGTATTTTGAACTTCTCCTTGTAACTGACATGTAAAATATGTTTCAGAGACAGAGTTTATTTAAAACTACTGAAATATTACCAACATAATTTTTATCAAATGTGTGTCATGCAGACTTTACAGCCTGTCCTCAGAAAATTAACTTACTTGGATTGCTGGAATTCCGATCTACAGTAAGTACATTTTACAACAGGAAATGCACCTCGACACTCCTGCACAAATAAAAAACCAAAAAATGTTAACATTTAGAAGAGAATCTTTACATCCAGGCAATGAAATGAATGCGATCTCCAAGAAATTTTATTACATCCATGAGCTGTGAAAACTAATGCGACAGTATTAGATGGCAAGCAAAATGTTGTTAAGAAAGTAGTAGGTAATAGGCTTGAGCATCAGACAGCTACTATGGTCTACGCCCAATAAGTTTGCGCACTTTGGGAGTGCAAAAGACGATTTGCCATCTTGATTCCTGTATATGCTCACAATAAACTGAAGACAGCCGATCTTCTGTAGCACTTTGATCAAGTGTAAACTTATTCAGCAAGAACTTTGGCAAGAAAAGGAATAAACTCCTCACTGACAGCAAGGGATGCCAACTTTAGACTTACTCCGGTTAATTTGGTTGGAAAATTAAATCTTCCAACTTTCTGCCCTGCTTCGCTGAAAAAATTCTGCTGGCATTTCCGAGACTTATATTATTATTTAGAGAAGAAAGTTCTTTGGCATGATGACTAACTAGGGAGCTTCAAAATTTAGCGGTTATATCTGAGTACATTTCTGAAAGGGAAAAATACTTAGATGAGAAAGAGGCAGAAATCGTGCTTAGTATGCTCAGGAAAATGAAATTTAAAAGAGGCGTACTAAGATGGAATGTGCAGAACAGCAAACCAAAACTTAAATACTACATATCACGACGAGTCTGTCCTTAAAAGGAGGGAATGTAAGAGGGTCAAATTTAAAGAATTTAGAGCATATAAAGGACTTCAGTTTTTGCAGGGCTAAAAGAGCTCTACAAAAATACAACGAAAACATAAATCTAAGAGTTGAACAAAGAGATATCGGGCTAGAATTCTAAACTTGATTCGTGGACCTCTGATAAGTGACAGTTAACCTACCTTGCACAACTGCTGTCCGGCCGATAGGTCCTCGAAGGGATGCCGTGTAAAGCATTTAGAGCAAGCGAATAATGCAGCCGTATTATTCATTAATAACAAATCAGATCGACTGAGCCTATCGTTTACAACAAAAAAGTTAAAGAATTAGAAAAAGTTCTCTGAAGCGACTTCACTTCAACTCGAAGACGTAAACAAATGTCAAAAAGAGGAGGCAAATTTTCGCGATTTTATTTGACCTTCCGGATTTTTGCAAGCGGTCAACAGAGAGCAGCACATTCATTTTACGTCATGAAAAATTCTGCCACCGATAAAATGTTAAAAAGAAATTTATTGGGGGTCAACTGCAGCTCGGTTTCCACCTTGAATGGATGGAATTTAATTTTCATGAAGAATGCACTGTGCCATAAAAATTAAAAAAGCCGGCTGCCGGATGGGTCCTGGTCTGCTCCCACAACTTCAAAGTGTAACGGCCTCAACGATGGATCAGCGATCGGCGTCACCGCTGCTCACAGATGGGATCGTTGATCCACCGCTTTGTCTCAACGATGAAAACCGCTTTTTCACCGGTGAAAATCGAAATACAGGTAGCTTCGGTGGCGACGGGGCGACGCGACGTTGCAAATTTCTCGTTTTGGACTATCATTGATTTGTACGCTTCCTACATCGCTTCCTAATTATTATCCAGAGAAATGATAAGAATCATGCAAACTCGTTAAGTATTCTCTGAAAAATAGAAAGCAAAATAAATATTTAAGAAATGTTGCAGTCAGGATAATTACCCATATTTCTCATTTTGCTGAGGCTGCGAAATAGATTGTCTTTGCAAATTCTAGAAACTGACTGGTTAGCCCCTAGCCCCATGAAAGAATATGCAGAAATTTGCAGAAGGAGAAGGCGGTCATACCTTCAAATTACAAATGTGAACTCTTGCTGAAAATTTTTTTTTTACATGAATAAAACTATTTAAATGCCTACTTTGCTAATTATGCACCAAATAAAAATTAATTTTAAATAAAATTACAATTTACAATTTTAATACAATAAAAAAAAAAAAAAATTAAGTGTCGAAGTAAAACTATCTTTTGCAATCTCCCGGACATAGTTCACTGTTTGGCAAGAACAAGGGAAAGAGCTCTATGGGAACCTTAGGCTTTGAAAAAAAATTCAAAATTGTCTTTTGTACGTGCATGTATTGTGTGTAAGTGCAAGACTAATCGATTTCTAGCAAAAATATCCTTTTCTGAAGTAGGTACTTCACATAGGTGTGACTGTAAATGTATACTACGGCTGTTGACGGACCACTTATTTTTAGATCATGGCTCTTCTGTAAAGGGGAGGCCATAACGCCTTCCTAGGCACATGATACTTCAGACAGTTCACTCTGAAGTCTCATGGTCGGACAGGCGTTTGTGGATAGCATGCATCAGTTCAAAACTTAAAGCAAACTTTTAGTCACTTACAGGTCAAAAAAAAATCGTAGGTCCGGTGAGTTAGTCTAGAAAAAACTGCAAAAATGAAGGAGATGAAGACAGAATTTGTCTCCTTTTTGTCCTGAAACTCAACGTTAGCTTAGATTTTTGACCCGATGAAAGTATTATATTTATTCATTACTATAGTTCCACCACAACCTTACTAGGTACCTACAGCAAGAATTACCTTGTGTAATACAGTTGGTCTGTATGGTATTTTTTGCTAAAGTAGCCAAGTAAAAAAACGAAATAAGTTTTGATAAAAATAAATGTTTAATAACTTTCTTTTTGTTTCATTCTTACAGAAGCGTACATAGGTCAACTTAATAAAACTTTGGGCATGATCTTCAATTATATCCTTAAATTATTAAGGCCGAGTAATTCATCTGCGATTGTAGACACATATTCACGGCCAAGAGCAACAACAGAGGAAGGCGGAGGGCAACATCAGCGGAAGGCAGAGAGCAACAATTATTCCACGATGTTCAAGAAATGGCAACACTAAATAATGATATTGAGGACTATCTAAACTTATTCTGCGGTGTAGAGAATTTTTTTTCCTTCCGTTTTCCTCTTTCCTGCTCAAAAATCATTCAGCAAGTTCTTGAATGGACTCATAGATTTAAGCGCAGAGAAAAGCCACTTGTACTTCATAAAACGGCAAGCAAAAGCCGTAAAAAACTAGTAGCAGGCATGCAAAAGAAAATGACACATTTTGTAACATCGTTGGTGGTATTGTGCGGCCCAAATAGAGAAAAATTCAAGAATTGTTTCAAAAACTTTTGGCAGGATTTTCATTTACTTAAGCAAGAAAATTAGAGGATTTTTTTTAATCAAGAGAAAGTTTCTCAGCAACATTTATCACAAAAAGTTTTCTTTCAATAATACCCGTAATTATTGGCACAAACTGAACCCTCAAAATTGGCGCAGAGAAAACCGACATCCAAAAGAATAGAAAAATCTAAAAGATTCCTTGACAGAAAAAGAAAGAAAAGAGAGATTGCACAGAAAAAATGATTACTTTTAAAGATAAAATGAAGAAGGAACATATTGTTTTACTGGGAGAAGTCTATTCTGAGAAAAAAAGTTTACATCACATAGGGACACAAATAGTCAGCGCAAGCACAAGTCTCAGATTTAGTCACAGATAAAACAAAGGAGAGGAAAAACTTATTCTAAAGTCATTTAGTGTGCTGCGCTTGCCATTTTTATTGCGGAAATAAAAGGATGCCAACTTATAATTTCTCATCTCAATTTTCATCTGAACATAGAGATTCTCTGGCGTTAATATTGAAATTTGAAGTCAGCAGACTTTTAAGTACTCTTCAGCCTTAATCCTCAAAACGAGTTCACTCAAGAACTTGAAAATCTGGGGAAAAATTTAAGGGTATTTAAATACTTTTTGAGGCCGCACAATCCAAATTTAAATAGAAACTACAACCTACATACTACCGACTACCGACTAGTATACAAATCAATTACATAATATTAGGTATAAGGTTTCTACATGATCTACACTGGGGGTTCTTTTTTTCAGGTTACAGATGACTAATGAACTTTGGATTATTCAAAGAGACCCGATCATGTTTAATACTAAGGGTGGTTTTCGTGCTAAAGCGTTTTTCAACATCAACAATAGTGGTATATGTGAATATCTTAGTTTCATACACTCAGCACCATTATCTTTTCCCATAGTTAAAATAACACAAAAGACTCTAACTTTCACTTAAATCTAGCGTTCAAATTAGAAAATATTTTTTTTAATTTGATTTCATGCCACTATGATTTAGGGTTTTGTACTACTAAAATATTAAGGTGCCATAACAAACACAAGTAAGGCAGAGTTCATCTTAAAACTTGTATCCACTTATTTAAAATCATTCAAATGGAAATTAAACCTTGCAGATCTTGCTTTTCAAGCTATTCATTTTCAATATAAACTGAAAAAAAATCTTCGCACATTTTATCACGAAAAGAAGGACAAATATGGGTATTATATGAAGTGGCATTGATAACACTTCGAAATTCCAATTATTGGACTCTTCAACAGACAGTGCGTTTAACTCAGTAATTATTAGGAAGATTTAACTGCATGTTTAGGAATGCTTCATGAAAGAAAAATCAAAAAGTGTTAGTAACAGACCACCCTCAAAAATGGCACAACTTTTACAAAGTTAAGTTTAAGTACAATGAAAGACAGGAACAAAGAGGACTCAAAAATGAGGTTAACATTTTTTTTTTTTACAACAGTAGTTCGTGACAATGACACAAGGTTAAAAAAACATAAAACATCAGGATACAATTGAGACTGAAATTTTACAGATAAATTAACGTTCTAAGCTGGTTACCTCGCCATTTCCAATTGGTGAAACAAATATTAAATAAACAGAGGAAAGTTGAAGATAAAAACCTGAAAACTACAAATTGAAATAAACATCTATTTTACCAAAAATTGAGTATTCAGGGTTTTTTTTTTTATTATTTCTTATGCTCAGGGTTAGCGCGTTTGCAGTCAAAAAGTAAGGAGGTAAAAACTAATAATTGGCTTCAGTTATTGAGACAATAAGGCCAAAATATAAAATACCGCCAAAGATAAAAAAATTTTCAAATACTGGAATCACAATATAGTAATGATTTGTAATTCACCAATTGATGATGGCTGAAAGAACAGATAGAACATTTCCATTTGTTTTTTGCAATTTTAGCCTGTTGTGCTAAGTTATATGTCTTTTCCTTCTTCTTTAAAATTTGATAATGCAGAACTCACAACACGACCAAGACTATAAAAAGAAAGAAATATCCAGTGAATCTTTACCATCTTCATAATCTTCATCTAGTGAAGGTTCAGGGAATGTACAAGATGAGAAAAATCAAGAAAGATGGTCATTCTTATTCCATTCACACTGCTAGATAGCNAGCTGAGCTAAAGCGTCAAGATTAAGGTTGCCAGATTTTTATATCGCAGAGACTGTCATGATAACGTTTAGCGCGCGATGTGAGTCACGTAGAGCATTGAGTTTTCCTGAGCGGGTGGTTTGAATTCATGCATCAAGAATCATTAAATATCTACATAACGAGTTGATTTCGGTAATTTTCGTTGTGCGCATCGTGTTCTACGTGAAATTCTGGTCAAGAAACATGTATTAGAATGCTTAAATTCGTACCTCGTCTATTGGTCCATTCTTGGCTAATGTTTTTTTGGAATTCATTACTTCCTATTTCAATGCGTATAATTTCATGCTGGTTAAAATTGACGACATCATTTTGCTGGGGTTATTTTATGGAATTTAGCGATAATTTGTCTTTTGATACAGCAACCTCTCCATATTACATGTAAATGATTAAGAATACAAAAATGAAAAATTACAAAAATTCGAATTCGGGAGGAATATCTTGTCTGGTTAGGTGAGTTCTGCACATTTACTATTATTGTTGACAATGATTGAAAGCAACTTATTGCCAGAAGTTGATAATAAAAATGGAGCAACTGACTTAATCGTGGCTGTAGATTGTTTTTTTACACATAAATTACATGCACACATGCTAAAAGGTAGAAGATACAACAAAGTCTCATAAAGATTTTAATAGTGAAGCAATGCGACATAAGTAGTTCGGTTATTAGACAATTCAATTTCTAGTTTCATACTTAGCCTAATTGAATTGATTGTTCGCATTTTAAGAGGATGTAGATGGGTTCATGACACTGTTGTTCAGTTGATTATTAGCTGCTTGATCTGCCTGAAGATTAACCGTTGCATTGTTTTGAATGTCTCTAGGGGATACAATACTGTACATGCCAGCAGCACTGTTGGAACTTTTGTCTGCAGTTTGAGCTGGACATTCAACATGGACGCAATGGAATACCTGCAAATATTGATGAGATTAGAAAAGATAGAAAACTGTTTACCAGCAAGGACTGGTACACATAAACTTATTTTCATATTGAGCACTTATTGCAGAACTATAAAGGATAGCAAAGGATCTACATAAAAAAAAAACATGAGTCTAAAAAATGTAAAAATAAGGAAATACAAAGTGTACCAAACTTTCATAGATCCATTAAAGTACAATGAATAAAAATAATAGAGATCTAGAGAAGTAACTTGATCTTATCACTGCTCTAATGTTACAGGTTCAAACTATATATTCAAATAATACACTGCGTGATTAATACTGTAATATTAAGCAACAGGCATGTTATAAAATACTGTGCCAGAAATTTCCCTCTCGGCTCACTGGACCACACCGGCTCAGCCCAGATGCACCCCTCCCTGCTCCAATACATTCTTTGCCAGTCGCTGGATAGTCTCCTTTGTTCCTCTGATCCACTTTCCATCATCACACTGCAGCCGGCTACAGCCACTAGAACTGAACTAAATTAGGCAGCATTGGCCTATGGTTCCAGTTCATCCCTCTCATTACTTTCTGTAAGAACAGCAGCAGCGGATTATGGAGGTTCCTCTTAGAGAATTTCCTCCCCTTTAGAACTTTGTAGAATTTGTCCAGACCTACGGGGAGTGTCACACGGTGACGAGCGGTGATTGATCTGGAACTTTCTAGAATTTACTTGAAGTATTATTGAAAGGAATATGGCTTGGAAGGTAAGCCACAATCACATACGAGGCAAGTGATGGTGGTCCGGGAGACAAAACCTTTTGGCTATTCGTGCATGACACGCAAAGCACACTCAGAAGTGCTAATAATGTAATAAAAAAAGTTGCAGGTAAAAGAGTAAAAACTTGTCGAAAAGTTGATAGGCTTCTCAAAAATTGTGTTATTTAGTCCATGCAGGAATATGGATCTGCAGTGTATATTTGAACCCCTCTCAACTGATACGGGTTACGGTGAGAATTCCCACTGCAATCTTAATGACTATTATAACCCTACGTACACTGGCTTGTGCTACTCTTCTCAGCTAACAATCCTTAATTGCTTCTTCTTTCAATTATAGAAGCTGCTTTTAAATTTCTAGTCTTCAATTTTAGAATTTTTGGTGATATTATATTATTCTTAAGTAAATTTAGTTTTTCTGCTGATTTTGCTAATAAGAAAAAAACACTTACTTCATTAGCTGTATTGTGGGTTCCAACAATTTTAATGAATACAACAGGTCGTGCTGGAAACCTGAGAACCTGCCATGAGCGGCACTCTTCATGTGTTTTGTCAGCGACCATTTCCCACTCCCAATTGTTAACAGAAACCTCTACGAAGTATCGATAGCTACGATCATCACAGTCCCACAGTAACAGTCTGGAAAATATAAATGTAAAGTAATTATTGAGTACATCGGTCATATCAATGGTAAGCACATAAAATTGCTCTTTATTTACAAAATATAAAACTTAGGATTTTAAATTTTCAAAAGGATACACCAAAATTTTCGAAGGGATGATATACAAATGTATTATAAAACTTTTAAACAAATAATTACTCTCTCATTGGTGGTCTTTCTTGGAATTTCTTTAATACAAACAAAATTAACGGAACACTTGCATTTATTTCATGATTAGACTACTTTGGAAACAGACTTCAATTCTTATAAAGCGCAACACCTGAATCCAGGTGAGGATTGATCATTATGACTGTTACTTTCCCTTTTTACTCAGTAAACTAAAGTTATAAGAGCTTTTTTTGAAGTTGAAGCGAGTTTGTGCTCATGGTGAACATGAAGATGGACTTGAAAGGCTAGCTTGCAGTTGGGTCGACTGAACACAAAATTAACAAGAAACCAAAATAAAAGCTAAGCTTCAGTGTGTGCTGAATTAACATGATGGAACAGAAAGCTGGAAGTAGAGGAATTTGCACACTAGATTTACCTTATGGAATCTATCATGTACGGCTGTCCCAACTGAACAGTAATGGCACCACTCCCAAGTTGATGACATGTATAGCCAGAATCCCAATCATACAAAGTGGTGTTTCCATCTAGAAGAGCGTTTCGAGACCTGCTCACACCTTCAATGACACTTGCGCTGTACGCACTTGTTGCAACATTTTCTTTGGGAACTGCAAGGAAAAAAATCCAAAATCATCATACATCATTACAAATGAGTTGTCAATGATTATATAGGCCTGCAAATGTTAGGTCATGTATGTAGTTTGAGATGGCTTGATCTGCTGATGATTGATTTATAGCGCTGGGTTCAGGAAGAATAAAGACAGAAATTAAGAAACCAATCGCTGATTGCTAGCAATAGCCTGTTAACTTCATATTTTGTGCCTCGGGGTTGGTCTTGCTGAAGTACAAAAAGAACAAGGACAGTATGGGAATAAAAAAATTATAGAAGGAGAACGTTTTTTTCAGAAAAATTCTGATTTTCAAAAGAATCTTGAAATAACCGAATTTGTTTGACTTTGTCCTCAAATTGAGCACTTGAATCAACAAAGGAATCTATAAAATAATTTCTTGTGATTGACAGGACCAAAAATTTGCAGGTCAAAGATTCACTTATAGAGAGAGCCAGAAATCCTAGCTGATAATTCATTTTTTGTTTTGAATGAATGAGGGAAAAATTTAAACTATGAAATAAATGCAGAGTTACAAAAAGTTGTGCAGAGTTTTCTCTCTTATTTCCTAACCTAGCATTTGATTTTATCAGTAAATTGAATTTCAAATGCCTGACAACGAATAAAAACACTATTAGGCCACTGACATAGGATTCTTTCTCTGAACGTCTTGAGTAAGTAACCCTGATGAAATTGGAACTGGGTCAATAGTAGCCTTCAGTAACTCTTCTCAGAGAGACAATGCAAAGACAACCTTTTTTAATGAGGGGGCTAATGGTATAGGTATGTATTATCGGCAAGTAGGCTCCTGGTTGCACAATATGCCCTCTGGGGTGTATACCAGCTGGTTTAGTATTCCATTTTCATGGTCTGATAAGCAATGCTTGTGAACTGTATGAAGAAAAACTGAAAAACCAATTCATGGTAGGGCACAGTTCTAGTAAATAAAAAAAGACGCTAAATTATATTTGAATTTTTGGATTTTCAAATAGAAATAGTTTGCTAACACTTACCAACTAGTCCTTTCTCTACAGCTAGAGGTTTGTTTGTATACATGACTTCAAACGATACTACATGAAAAACTTTGTTCACAGTGTTGTTAGTCCCTACTATCCTGATGAACTTGACAACTCGTGGCTTAAAGTACAAAAATTGCCAAGATCGGCAATAGTAATTGGTATGGTCCACAATTCGCACCCAGTTCCTTCTGTCCATTGAAACTTCGATATAATATGAATAGGACCTGGAAAAAAAAAATTAAAAACAAATGATACAAACATACCAATTGAGTACTCTTACAAAGAGACAAATTAATTATGAAAATAACTAAAACCTTCCTAATCTTCTGAACATGTTTGTTTAACAAAAACACTTGTTGGTTCAGAACAGTGATTGCACAAAAAACTGAAAACGCTCCGTGTGCAGAAATGATCAAGCCCCTAAAAATTGCCTTGAAAAGTCATATGTATTAAAACACGATTTTGGTTAAAGAAGTCAAAAAAAGTTTTTCTACGCAAAAAGGAAACTTTTCTACTTTTCTAGGTTTTTTTTAAATCAATCAAATTGACCAAAATTTCATTGTTGTGCATAATCGTCAACCTCAAAATCCAAAAATAATGGGGGAAAAAACTGCACATTCAGATCATTACTGCATTGGTGGTAGGAGTGAATTAATCGTTTGAATGGTTGTACTCAAAGAGTCAATTTCCCAAAATTGACCTTATTCCACCAAGGTCCTACGTTTGGTTGTGCAAATGCCAAGTTTTAAACTCCTGTAGAATTTATCAATGCCAAGCAACTGTTCAATGAGGTTGCAAACAATTCACAAAGTTTGTCGATAGTACCTGCAATCTCTGTCCCACAGTAACATTTTTATGTGATTGATGATCGACTGTCGGCCAAGTTGAATCAGAATGCCATGATCCTGCACATCATCCTTGAGATCGCTAATGGTGTGACGTGTGAAGCCTCGTTCCATGTCATAGTTGTGGCTATCTCCATCAAGGAGAGCTGAGCGCATTTCTCCCAATTCAACCTGAGAGCCCAGGCTTGGACTGGCCATGTTGACTTCTGGAACTGCAAAAAAAATGTTGAGTCATGCAGTTAGCACAGCTGTTTTTGATATGACACTCCAAGGATTAAACATTATAATTCATGGTGCTAATGTATCTTTCAAAAGCTTGGAAATCAATTTTTTCTATTTTTACACTTGGACAGACTATTCATTGAGCTGATAAAAAATTAAAAATTTGAAGACACTAATATGTCGAGGGGCGATGAAGAAAAGCACAACTGATACAAAGTGGTCCTTCAATATTAACTTTCTAATAGTATGAACTCAACGTTATAACTTTTAAAAATATTAACTTTAAAAAAATAAAAACAATTATTCATTATCATCAACTCCTTTTAGCTTCATGTCCTATTTCACCCCTAAAATGTCTGTTGGGACCACATTTTGACCTTTTTTCACTTGAATTTGCTGCTTGGAAATGGTATATTCCTACACTTTAATTAATTACAGAGTCAATTTTTTTCTGTTTTAAGTTGGTTGGTTAAAGGGGTACTTACTCAGGCAACCTCGATAATTAATAGAATTTTCCTTTGAAGATGTTTGGAGAAGAATGGCATCTAGAAGATTGTCTGGCGAGACAAGTTTAGTTGGTCTGACGATTGTTAGAAGTTCTGTTAGAGACATTAAGGGAAGTCTTACAGCTGACAAAACATCCTGCATACTACTTTCACCGACTGAGTTGTATCGAGCCCAATCGCAGACAGCTTTGAAAATGTCCTTCTCTTCCGCATAAAATGAGTCTTTTTCGATAATTTCTTTCAAACCAGCCTAAAAAATAATACAGGTCAGTTATGCTTCCACATTTATAGGGAGTTCGAAAGCCTTCCCTTCAGGAGATTTAAAATGCATAATTTTTTAATGCCAAAATTGAGCATTTTGAACAAGTTTAGAAATTTTTGATGTACTCGGAGCGAAGAATCTATTTTCAATAGCAAGAAACTAGAAAGGTCTATTTGCAATAGACCAAGGAACATTATGCCACTCATGGTGTATCTCAGATATTTTTGATGTACTCATAGTAATTTTCATGCAATATTACCGATAAGGTTCACTTAATTTGCTGTATCTTTTGAGTGCAAAAGACACATCCTCTTAAAAAGAAATATTTCAAGGTGACTCGTGGTTAGGCCAGATGTCCAAATGGGCCAATAATCCAAGCATGATAAGAAAACTAGAGAGAAAAATTAGCACTACTTACTGCAGAAAGTTGCAAGAATGACTCCTCCTGAATGATGACAGAAGCCTGCGAGTCTAGGAAGGAGGACACAACTTTACTCAAATACTGAAGTTGATACAGCCGAGCTGCATCATAGATATTACAAGCATTATGAACAGTCAATGTCTGACAAAGATAGTCAGAGATGGCAGCTTCTAGATCCGTAAACCCATATAAATGAGCAAGACCAAGAATATCTAAAATGACATCCTCCTGAAACAAATGAGGTTATTCAGTTGTCAATCTAAAGAAGGAATTAAATCCAGTTTTTTTAACCAGACGATTTGGAGCCTCGATTTAAGCCTTGTATTATGAACAAAAAGTCTTGACAGTCACACAGTCTTGGGTATCACATAATTCTGGTGTGTAAAATCTTTTTTTGCACTGAGATTCTAATTTATCTTACATTCTTAAATCAAAGCATTCATCGATTTTTAAAAAATTAGAATAGTACTTCATTTGGAATTGAACTACAAGTACCTGTTTCTTCCAACTCAGATTTTTGAACTGCTACAATAAATGCCAAGTGAATTTTTGTACTTTTAGACTGTGACAGATGATCCACCATCTTGATTCTTGCATTTACTTTCAATGCTAAACTGACTTTACTTGATCTTCTGTCACAGTCTAAAAGTGGGCAAACTTATTTGGTTTCGGCTGGAACTTCAAATTATCATTTCTTCAGTTAGGTTTGATAAGTATATATGCTTTCATACTTATAGAGCGTGGGTAAAATACAACTCTTCACAGAGGTATCAATCACTTAATATTGAGTTTTTTTGAAAAGATTCTTTCAGTATGAGCGATCACAAATGGTGTCTAATAATAGAAAAATTGCAAATTTTCAACTCACCTTGACAGAGCCAAGAGACATACATCCAGTATAGATATATTTGAGAAGAGCTTTGAAGGCTGGTATAGTTGTTCCTTTGAGTTCAATCATCGACTGTTTTGACTCTTTCATCCCACCGAACAGGAGAGCTCTGGGGGCAAAAAAAAAAGGTCTTTCCATTAACAATTTACCAGATTGTCTATGAGTGCAGGTTTGAGAAGAGAAGAGAGGACCTGAAGGAGGACTGCCTTTTCTGCTTTTTATTAGGGTGTAAGAAAAAAGACAATGAGAGTTATCAGTCATTGTTAGTGAAAAGTGACCTCTGAATTAGTCATAATGGTCTGCTCGAATCGGCTTGTAGATATGACCATAGATACAGCCAGGCTTTAGGCCCTACCTCTCCTTCTTTAATAAGAAGAAAAAAAGTAACATTTGTAACTTACTTAATCTTAAAAATTGTTGTATCAAAAGAGTCTTGAGCCTTTGTGTCCTTTTGTAGTTAGTGGAGGATACCTTAGACCCACTTGCAGGGATGCCATATCGTCACCTTCCAATCAAAATATTACAAGCGCCATGCGACATTTCAAAATTTCCACTGTCATTTTATTTTTTTACTGAGAAAGTGTTGGTTGAATCTGTTAGAAAATTTCACTGAATTTTATCGGCAGCACAAAGAAAATTCAGTGAAATTTTTGGACAGCTTCGTTGAGTATTTCTCTGTGAAAAAATATAATGGCGGCAAAAATTTTTAAACGCTGCATGGAGCTTGTGATACTTTGGCCGGAAAATGACGATATGTCATCAGCGGGGGAAGGGAGGAGCAATACATTATAAAGCAAGGGCAGAAATTTTGTAGGCCAAATACTGCATATGAGTTTCAGAATTTCTGCTATCCTTAGGAAGATTCTTGCCTAATGTTGCCGTGCTAAGGAAAAACGCTGTATAAACATTCCAGAGTTGCCAAATCTCCCTGGATAAAACATGTATTTTTGACGAAGTTTATGCATATTTTTCCTTGAAACTTTCAGATATTTTAGATTATGTTACGTATAAAATTGTGTGAGAATTTTGGAGACCAACATACACAAGTTTCTCAGTAAATTTGGGTTTTATGGAAGTAAATTTGGCAACATCTGAAGGCTCATACGGCGTTTTCACTTAGCACAGGAGAATGGCACTTGAGGGTAAAATGAAAATGACAGCACTTACCGAAAATATTCGCTGCGGCTGGCTAAAATAACCTTATGAGCATGGAAAGGCTCGCTTTCAACGAGAAGAATAACATCACTGTATTCATTGTCTAAGTACAGAGCGCCAATGTGCTCAGAGAGATGATTCACATGCTCTATTTCACCCTTCGGATGACCATTTTGACTTAAATGGTGATTGCTGCTCATTTCTTCTGTGTAATCTGAAATCAGCATAAGAAACCATGAAAATCACTTTTAAGGAGTCCATAAATGGACGTATTTCTGCTAAAAGGAACTATGTGCATAGGGTTTGCAAGGGCCATAGTTCCTTTAAGCATAAATATGTCCAAATGAAAATCAAATATGAAAGAATGATTTGACTAGAAGCATTCTTCTTCCCTTTCTAATGTTTATTCCGTGTCTTTTCTTTCTGTATTTTAGGTGTTGCCCTTTTTTCAGCCCCCAACACAACTGAATCATTTGCCCATGAGTTGCAATAGCTAAGGGTAAATCTGTTCCATTCAATAACTTAAAGTTTATCAGCAATGTCAAAAGTAACATTGTGTGACAGCAAGTGATTTTAAAAGTAATCTCTTAGAGCTGATGTCATGCATGGAGGGATAATTTCCGCCAATTACTTAAATTAGTGGAATAGTTTCGTTCTTTGATTTAAGAATGGTGAAATCCTGATAATTTCAAAACATGATGAGGTAGCCAATTTGTGACATCCAGCAGTGACAGTTTGTAGCAGCAGCTCCCCAGCCAATGACAGTTTCACCCGAGAAAGATAGCACACTATGAACTTAAAAATTTGCAGCGCTGACTATCATCACTAGTTTTAATGCCATCGGTAACAAGCTCAATGCAGAATTAATGTGATACGCTGTTCAATAGTTGTATACGAAGTCAAGAGCTACTAGATAACTAATGATAAAATGATGCAACAGCGACAACAACGGTATCGCCTTATTCACCCACCAATTAATTATTTCCATCGCATTCTCAGGCAATAGCTACTAGTAGATTACCTTACGAATAGTATAAAATTATGTTTCATTTTGAGAGTAAAGCCATGGTGAAACACTGTCCGTCGTACAAAGAATTTAGAATGAGGTTAGAGCACGGAGGAGAAATTTCATCAATGACTTCAGTATTCAAACTGGGGGAAATAATAAAAACGTAGGGTAAGGGCTAGAGACAGCGGATTATTTCAATTTACCTGACATTCATTCAATTAAAGGTGACAGGAGCGGGGTATGACTGCTGAGAGCAATCAAAACACAGAGGTGGAAAATGGAACTGCATGAATTACATAATGAAGCAAAGGGAAGTTATAAAAAATCGTATGACAGCACAATTGGTCAAACTGTTTGTCTCTGTCAAAGAGATAAGCGATCCTAAAACGAATTCCACGACTAAATTTCTCTAATTCCACCTCATCTTGATCATCTTGTTCTTATCAATCACAAACACCAAAAATTTCGACGCAAAACAAAACACGTAAAAAAAAGTCATTGCAATCTACGTGACGTCACGAGTGTAAATAACCAATAACGTCGTCTTTTCATAGCATCCACGTTTTTACACTCTTATCATTGGCTGATGCTTTGATGACGTCATTAAAATACTTTGTAGTCTCGCCTCCGCTCCGTATTATCAACACTGAATGAAAAGTTCGCCTATTGATATTGATAATGACGATTGACAAGATGAGATTTCTCTTTTTAGAGTGGTGCAATTTCGGAATCTGAATACTAAATTTGTCCTTCATAGATTGTGTCGTTTGCATTTCAGCCATAATAATTGACCCTCTTTAATTTCCGTCCGCTGAATCACATCTGCCTACCGTCGTTCATCACCGATTATTGTTTTCTCAGTGAATGTCTCCGTCTTTGATCCGTATTTTTCACAATTTCTTCCCCAGTTTTGTGGGTGGCCTCCGTGACAAGTCAGTGTTTCATTGCCTTAAAAGGAATACTTTAGTTCGTTCTTATTATCAGCTTCTCTCACGGTCAGGAAATTCGCTGCCAAGCCTTGAAAGTCGCACGTCATCGTCCCTGCCGAAGAAAACACCGACTTTTCTTCTCCTGCAATCACTAACAACCATGGGGGACTCACAAGCAGAGGAGAGGAAAAAGGAAATCGAAGCAAGAAAAGCAGAGCTCAAGAAGAGGCTCACTCCGTTGCAGTATCACGTTACTCAAGAAAAAGGAACTGAAAGGTACTCAGTTTGAAAGCTCATTCTTTTCTTTCTCTTTAATATTTATATCCTCAAGTTTTAGCTCAGCATTGAGAATTCATCATCAGTTGGTCTTGCTACCAAAAAGCACACTCCAAAGTGAACTTTAAACAGTGTTGTTTATGCATCCTTATCAGACTTTGAGAGTTGTGGATTAGTTGTTGGATTTCAGCGCAAGGAGAGGAGTGGACATCAGATTTGTCTTCTAGTCGAGGAACATCGACCTCTAGGAAACATGCAGGCCCCCACATATCTTTTTTGTCTTCAAGCCCTTACCAGTGGCGTAACATTTATATTAGGTCCCTGTCTTCACATCAATATTTTTTAATAAATTCCTCCGTCCCTCCTCCCTCTATTTGTGTGCCGACGACAACAAGAACATTTATAGCTGAGACGTACTTCCAATCTTTGGCCCTCTGTTTGATTGGTTACTACCTGTTTTATTCTACAGCTATTGCATGACAGTAGAAGTGCCAGCACTACGAGCACAGGCTTTGTGAAACTGGTGCAGGGGCCTATTGTTTCTGGAAGCCTTAGCCCCAGTCCTAACTTGGTAGGAGCTGTTGATTTGAGTGTTGATTCTAGGTAATTTTTATTTCATTTCAGGATGAGTCGGGTTTGACATCGAAATAGATTACGTGTTGATAATTAATAATAACTTTGGTTTAAGTCAAGGATTGCAGCAGATTACTGCAAGATTACCTGATATTTTACCAGATTGTTTCAAAGAAACAGAAGTCAACCAACCAGAATACTCAGAAATAAGTGTATCAGGCTCTTATTGGGTGAGCTGTGCATTTTGCATGCACAATCTAAGAAAGGTACCATTACCAAGCAGTGTGGACAGCCAGTATCAAATGCTTTAATTTCAATGCAGTCCCGGATTTGATTCCTAACTAAGCCTGTATTTTACTGCAAGTGTCACTTAGCTCACTACCAGGTTGAGACAGCAGCTAAATTTGTGACCTTCATGTCATCCATTTACTTAATTCTTATCAGTCATCATTGATAAAAGATCTAACGAAAATGGTAGTAATGTTGTCTCATTAAACTAAATGTTTCATTTCCAATTTTTCAGAGCTTACACAGGCAAATACTACAAAACAACTGATGCTGGAGTATATAGTTGCATTGTGTGTGAAGAACCGTTATTCTCATCTGAAACAAAATTTGACTCAGGATGTGGCTGGCCTGCGTTCAATGAAGTTTTGGCTGAAGGCAAAGTCAAACTTCTCAAAGATACATCCAATGGTACGTATAATTTTTATATTTGTGAGATTAAGTGATCCTCAATTTTTTTTTTTTTTTTTTTTTTTTTTTTTTTTTATTGTAGCTTATTCCATTTCAGGTGAAGTAGAACTTCTCAGAATAGGTATTTAATCACATTAGCCTGATTGTTTTAAAATGATTTTAAGGAGGAGAAAGTGAAATTTTGAAAAATCAATTAGGTTTTTCATGTAAATATCTAGTTGTCGTTCTAAGTATTTTACAGTCAATCTTGTTCATCCCATTGTGGTGAACATAGTAGAAAAGTTCTAGTGAAATATGAGACATTCTAAACACAAAGAATAGAGGAAAAGAGATTATCACATCTAATGAACCGGGTACAGTGCACTCTCGCTCATTTGCAGCTCTTGAATTCAGGAAGCTTGATATACCTAATGAAGGAAAAGCTGTGAAGTAATCTCAATAAGTTAGAGAGGAATAACTGTGCACTTGTCTCCCTTCAGTAATTTGAAGTTCTTAAACAGGTTTGCCACAGTCAGGGAATCTCGGGAAATATCATAGAAAACTTGGAAATATCAGGGAAAATTTTGAAAGTGTCAGGGAAAAATTGTCAAGTCACATTTATTTACTTTCTAAAATGGGATTGACCTTTCGATTCACAAATTTTGCCTTAAAACTAGCTCAGATAATGTCTTTTTAATGATCTGGCATATTTTCAACTGTTAGGGAATTTTACCTAAATGTGTCTGGGAAATCAGGGAGCTGTCAAGGAATTTCATTTTCTAAATTCTTTGGCAACCCAGTTTTGATCTTAATCAGCTTTTGAATCTGAAATTATGCAGCCATAAGCTTCTGAAATTAAAGATGAAAATTGCCTTCTCTGCATTTTAAATTGGTTCAGTTAAAAGCGTTTTAATTCAGAAAGATTTCAGAGGCTTTTCTTTGACTCGGTGTATTGATTAAAGCATGGCTTATTCCCAAAAAAGGGGTGTAATTTTGAACTTACAGCGATTGGCAACGCTTCCTTGAATTTCAGAACTTATGTATTTACCTAATACTTTATTTCAAATTTGATTGAAAGATCGCTCCTCATAATTTTAATTCTTAGGTACCAATTTAAACAAAGACCCTTTAATTTAACAAAAATTCTCAGTCCCTTCAGTTTTCAATCAGCGAGAGTGTACTGTACTTGCATAATGCCAAAAGTCATTTCAGGTAAATTATTTACTCGTACTCTCTTTAATGTTTATCTTTTCGTATTCAGTTTTAGTGTGAGTAACAAAACTATGTGATTTTGTGTGCATTCCTGAACCCTCTTTTAAACCCAACTGGATTCCTAACCCACCTATGAAAAAATTCCCATTAGCCTGCCATTTTTTCTTTTGATTTTTTTTTCTTTTTCTTTTTTTTTTGTCGACTTTTTTCTTTTTTTTTTAACTCAGCCCAGAGTCCAAAGGAAGTACTATAGAAGTTTAAGAAGTTTCATTAAGTTGGATCAATGTTGATCATTGTAAAAATCGAAGCTAGGTACATTCCTGAGATAGCCCAGCAAGAGAAACATCTATCCCATTACTTAAATTCTTTTAATTTTTTAGTTGTTATCAGAGAAAATGAAGTGGAATGTTTTTCTTGGAAAAGCCAGGCTTGTATTGCAAATGCCATTCAGTATTCTATTATTGCTCTTCTCTTTCAAAGTAAATATCAATCAAATTGTGAAAATCTTAGCTTCCAAGGTATTTTCATAGGACTCTAAAATTTTTTGGTGAAACTTCTTCCGCCCTCTCTTAGCCTTCCTTCATCATACCAGCAGTTGCAGTTCAGCAGTTGCCACTCTGTCTCAGGATAGAATCCCATTCCCATATCCCTTTCTCAAACAGTGAGGGCAGAAGAAGTGCTCCCAAAATGTAGTTTCCATATCAGCTGATTTTAAATTGACAGAACCTAGTGTTTTCTTTCTTTTCTTGAACAGCTGTAATTCATCCTAGAATAGATTTGTTTTTAACAGGGTACTTCTGAGTGGCATTGGTTACAATATGTCAAAAAAACTTGGTGCCTGGGTTCCTCTAGCTTTAGGGATGGTTTGGAAATTGAAATGAAAGAACCTTGTTCATAGAATCGACCCCCTTTGAGCCTTATTTGCTTCAGCATTATAATTTTGTAGCATGGTTATTTTGGGAGAGAGAGTCTAACAGCTTTTAAGCAGTGTTAACTAATTTCATGTAAAGAATTAACTTGTGGAAAAATTCCTGGTTTTCGGTTTTAGTTAATCTCTTGTTGGCTGTTTTCCCTCGTATGTTTCTTTATTTGTTTGGTTTTTTTTCCATTATTCCCTTTTTCCCTTTATTTCTTTCTATTTCTTTTTTTATCTAATGAAAAGAGAATGTTATTTGAAAGTTGCAACCAAAGCAATTTAAGCGTTTAAGGTGAATCCAGGCTTCGAACTTTGCGATTTGGCCACCATGTCACGCTGCTTAGAATAGCCGTATATTTTTGCCAAAATAATAAAAACTGTAATACATATTCAAGATGAGGGATCTAGGGGATATAGCAACATACTTGAGGAACACTCAGTAAAAAAGTCTTCTCAAAATTCCCATAAATAAAGTCGTAACTACGGCGGAAAGTAATTCCCATTGCTGCGATGGAAGAGAGGGAAACAGAACATGAGGAATTCAGTTGCCCGCTTGGCAGCTGCCGCCGCTGAGCTGAAAGTTTCAACCGTACTTTTTCTGCGCTTGTAATTCTAATTGCCAATATTTTTGGCTCAAAAAATCAAGCAAAAAAATAATCCATATCCTTTGGATCTGCTTTTTGTAATTTGAACAATATTATTTCAGTAATCGTCGAAGGAAAGTCAAATTCTCAGTGGTAACTGGTGGCACTATCTCTAATCTTGAATTATCCCTAATAATCGAACCCTGGATTCACCTTAATTCATTATCATTGCATGTCTGGTAGAATGGTTTCCCACGGATAGAAAAAAAATGGCCCACATGAAATACTAAAATGCTGGTAATAAATGCCATTTTACTAAACTTGAAACCCTTTTGAGAAAATTGTAATCCTGTAACTTCTAGCAACAGTATCAAAGGATGTAAAAAGAATATGTGAGGAGATGTTTTTCAAAGACAGGAAATTTTTAGGCTTGCAGTGAGTGACTGTGATTTCATTATGGACAAAAAATTTCAGAATGTGAAGGAAAAACCAGCACTTGTGGAAAGAATGTCATCTCCTTGAGATTTTATTCAGAAAGCCATGAAGACTAACAAAGTCGTTTTCTTAAACAAATTCTTTTGTACGTTGATAAAGTACACTATTGGAACTATAAAGTGCAAAGAAAAAACAAATCCCTCTTACTAACGAAATTAGGGCTCATTTTAAAAAAGATTTTAGCAGCGAAATATGGGACTTGTATCTAAAACTGACTGTATGGATTCACTTCTAGAGAAATTATTGTTATCTTGTTTCATTTTAACTTTTTAACTGTGGAATCATTTTTAGAAGCATTTCAAAGACGGGTACCTGATTGCTGTTAATCGCACAAATCTCTGTTGACTGTGAGCTTTTTAATCCAAAAATTGTAATGGAGTGTAACTTGAAACTAGAATTTATCTTTTCTACCTTGTCCCTTCTTATTTATGCTATTATGGAATTTCATATCTCACATGCCAGGCAGTATCGAATTTAGCGGAAGAGTTAATTTTTTCCATTCAAATATACTTTTTAGTGATGTGTAACAACTAGTACAGCATGGCATGATCCTACTTTGAGCATTGAGCATGTTACATAATTCTTTATATGTAGAGCATTTTTTGTATTGCAGTTTGGTAATGGCGTAAAAAATTGGCATCTATAGCCTCTTACACTTTGAAAGTTTTGTGATATGTTAAACAAAATTAATTTTCTCTCTTACAACTTCGAGTATTGCCATTAAGGGCTGTTGCCAAACATTGTATTCTAATGTTTGAAATAAGTTTTATAAAATGTGGATTTACTCGAAGATGTGGTAGATTAGCAAAATTACTCATTAGTATTTTGTTGGAGAGACATAATTCGTGGAATATTTGTACACTGAATCTAAATTTTTTGATTCAAAGAGGGCGATTTGGGAACCATGATAATTGAGAATGTTCCAATTTAAAACAATCCACCGCCATGTGAGGCTGCCAAATAAAGCTGCCTGCATGCCAAGCTAGTCGCCCAAACTATGTAATGCTTAAACTGAGAGCAGTGTTTTGCAACTTAAGGAAATAACACATTTAATGTCCATAAAAATGCTCAAATCAATCTTGACATGCTCAGTTTCAATAGTTCTAATATTGTACAATAAGAATGAGAAACAAGACGAAAAATTAAACGTATAGTTCTCAGAAGCAGTGAATGACTCATGCACTTGTTTTAGCAACATTGAATACCACTGTCATCTACAAAAAGATGATCTTATTTAGAGTTTATTTTAAGTGTATCTAACAGGATGATCCAAAAGTCTTGCACGATGCATCACCCCTGTAACATGTGGACAAATTGTGATCGAGACTTGAAATTTTTTGAGTACTCATAGGTCAAAGGAAACGACTTTTGGAACCTTCCTTGAGATGAACTTGAGTGAAGCGCAAGTTTTTCTCATTTTTAATCACCTAGTTTTAGTAAATTTCATTTTTCATCCCTTTCCTACAATTTTTTGGAACTTAAAGCTATGTGTCAAAATTGTGCGCTTAAACAGCTTTCAGGACCAAAGAAATAACCGTAACAGTATTTTTCTTAATTTTTATAATTATTTATTTTTAAAGACTCTTTGAAATGTTTCTCAACATAGACAGATCTAGACCCTTGCTTCATAGCTGTATATTTACTTGCAAAATTGTCGACAGCTATTTAGTATTTGGCTCTAGAAGGAAAACAGCAACCCTCCTTTCCCTCTTCTCCTTCCCTTTTTTTTTTGGAAAAGAAAATTGTCTTAAACATCCTCCATCTCAAACAATTACAGCTATTTTTGTGGGTACATAACTGAAAAATGTGTAGTTAAAAAAATACTTTGTACTAACTGCTCAGTCAATGAATAATTTCTGAACAGAAGCAAATGTTAAATTCCGTATCGAGGTGGGTACACCTATGATTAAACATCAGAATCTCCCAATTTCTATCCAGTTGCTCAGATGATTCAAAAGGTTGCCAAATTAATCAAATAGTCAACTCCCCATTGAATTTGATTGGTTGCTGAAATTATTTTTTTACGAAAGAAATTTGATGCACAGACAATAATTTAAATTACTGATTTGATATGAACAAGAGCTCTGAAATAATAAATTACTTAGTAATTAGATTGCTTTCATTGTGTCACAGTCGCATCCTAGACGGAAGTTGAAGTGAGCACCATTATTTGACCATGAATCAATCAGTGGAAATGTTTAATTATTCCAGATTTTTATCGCCAGCCAAAGCCTTTAGTCCTTCTCACTGATCCTGCAGCTAAATGATGATGTAACATCAAGGTTTTCAATGAATAAAATTTCTCTAATTATTAAAATTTTTCGTGGGCTGACCTTTAAATTAAGTGAGAAGCCACCCATTTACCGTCAAAAATAAGTAGCGAGCTATCTTATGATGCCATCATCTCTCAGTTCTCCTCTTTTAAAATTCTTTAGGTATGCATGCAAAGGTTGATTCATACATATATGCATAGGCAGGCTATGAACACCTAGTATTTTTTTCCTCCTTAAGATAAAATTTTACCATTCACTTTCCCTCATCGATTGATTTCAAACTTACTTTGAAATCAATCAGCAGCTTGATTCTGTAATCAGTGTCTACGTTTTGTCGAATTTAAAAACTGCAGAATTCGTCCAGTTTCTAATTTTTCATTCCTCTTATATTTTACAAATTATTCTTAACCACCGCCAATGTCTTTGACTGGAAGTCGGGTACTGCGTGTTAAACACTCCACCGTCATTGCAGTGCTTCATTAGATGTTCTGAATCATTGCTGCAGTAAGTCAATGTTCCATTGGTGACTAGCAGTGTGAAAGAAGGATACTGTTCTTTGTTCTTTGTTCTTTGTTAAGAACTATAAATGATTTTCGTAACTTATATGGTACTAATAGTTATTTTCATTCGGCGAAAGCTGAAGTTTTCAAATTTATGTCCATCATCTTGTCATTCTATCTTGCTTGCTATCTGTAAAATTGATTCCTTTTGTTTATAAAATTAAATTTCATCCTAATAAATCATAATCTTGCACATAATTAATTATGCACCAAAAGGAAGTAAAAAATTCAGTGTAGTTTGCATGATTGAAGAGCCTAAAAAAACCAATAACTAGATTGAATTTGTGTTTGTCATGAGCTATTTCCAAAAAAGCTGATAGCAGCAGTTTGCAGCCTTTACCTGTAGATGATAGGCCACAAATTCAGCGCTTAAGGAAAACAATTCATCCCATCATTTTCAGTCATTCTCTCTGCAAGCTGCTCAACTTATCATGAAAATTACGGTACACCAACTTGAGGATAATGTAATGAAGTTATTTTTTCAAACTACACCAGTTAATCTTTGAAATTTTGCCGACGCCCCCTTCTCATCCCCCACTAAAAATCTTCTAGATCTGTCTATGTCTATACTCTTAAGCACTGGGTCAAGCTAATTTCATGTGTATATTCATGTAAAAATGGGTGATAGCTAATTTATTCTTTCTTTTTCCTTTTGCTTCCTTTCTCTCTCTTTCAAACCCTTCTTCCTGGCTCAATACATACCTTATTCCTTTCTCTTCACCATTCCCGTCCTTTCCATGTCTACTGATCAGTTGGAGCCAATCTTCTATTATTAATCGCTAATCCAGGTATGATCCGGACGGAGGTACAGTGCGCCCGCTGCGATGCTCATCTTGGACATGTTTTCAATGATGGACCTCCACCCAAGAGGAAAAGGTTTTGCATAAATAGTGCCTCTCTAGCCTTCCATCCGTTTGAAGAAGAGACCGCCAAGTCATGATCATAAAGTTGAGTTTCCCGAGCCTCGGTCGCAACTAATTGTTATCAGCTGTCTTCTACACAACGCCTTGAAACTTAGGGAAATTCCTCAATTTAGCAGGTCATAATAATTTGAAACTACTGGATAATGTACTCAAGAAGTCAGATTGTGATGTAAGTTTTTGTCAGATTTTACATGGGTTAAGAGTGGCAGTTTCATTTTTTTCTTCTTCTTAACATATATATAATATGTAATGGAGAGATGAGAAGTAAAATTTTCAGGATACCTTATCATTTAATGAAGATATTTGAAATCTTGATTTTTTTTGAAAGTTAATTCTCATGTATTAAAATTGAAGAATATATTTTTGTTAATATATACATCAATTAACTAGTAAAAGTATTCACTGGATTTTATACTTTACTGTTAACAAATAATGCATTACATTCACTGAGCGCTCTTCAAAAGAGTGTTGTTGACTTCATGTTAAATGAAAATGAACGGGAAAAAATGGAAAGTCTTTAGCTTTTATAGGTTTTACTCATGAAATTCTTTCAAAAGCATCACTATCCAAAAATTCAAATGAAATAAAATTGTGCTTTTCTTACCAAAAATGCTTGAATTAGGTACAGTTTCCTCCCTGTTATTTTACAAATAAATAATAAATAAATATTAATAAATCCAACAAAACATAATAATTTTGGAAAGTTTGATAGCTTGGAAATTGACTCTAACACATCCTTGCTATTAGTGCCATGAATATGGGTGCATTTAAAGTCAAATTTTGAATTTTAGAGAAAGGCCTGTCTCTCTCTCCTTCACTTACCTGCAGCAGTGCACTCATTCCAATTTTAGAACCCTCTCTAATCAACATGTTTTTTCCCATACCTACCTAGTGGCAAAACACCTTAAATTCTGCTACGTAAATGCAGATTTGGGGAGTACCTATACTCAAATATGTGTCAGGATTTCAATGGAAAAATTAATCTTATATTCGTACCACCTAACTTCTTTATTACCAATCCAGTCCAACTTAAAGCATGAAAGAAACGATTGACCGAAGTTCAGTAGTTAAATTACTTTCGTAATTTGATCCAGTTCTGGCTGTTTTTAAACAGGAAAGAAAACAAATTTTGAAAAAATGTCTTTCTATTGAATTTAAAAAAGTCTTTATTTACATTTCTTATCCTCTTATCTAATTCAAGCATTTCTGTTCTATTAGCGCATCACACCCTTTAGGTATTTTAACTGTATACCTACTCTGCCACTAGTACTGTGTTGTTTTTCTGTACAAAGTTTATGTCATAAATTTCAAGTGTCTCTAAATAACCATTCACAAATACAAAAAGTGAAATTTATCAAACGTTCCTGTGTTGTGGAGGGTAAAATGTCAACTCCTTGCAAAAAAATGCAAAGAAGGAAAATTTTCAATACTTAACTGAGAATAATCAAAATTCAAGTTGTAAGCTGCTAATTGATGAAGCAGCAAATCTTGTAACTTGCGACTTCGAGCTTATGCAAGTTGACCTTGTATTCGTCTTACAGAATTTGTCCCACCACAGACAAGAATGTTGCTCTAAGTATTCTATTCTCCATTATTGAATATAGCCCAAATTTCAATTTTTGACGAAGTATTTCGGTTTTAAAAAATTGACAAGTTTCCAGAATTCTATGTGCAATGATTCAATTTTAGTACAAAAATATTGGTCTAATACCTATCTGTGAAAGAGTGATCAGTCATTTTAGGAAGCACTTTGTTAAATAATGTTTTTCATCACAAGTAGATGTCATGCACTGTTATATATTTTGCAATTTTTTGTGAAGAATGTTAAGTAGCCCCCAATACCCATTCCCAATCCAATACCCAAGCAGCATAGGTTTTTTTAACATTTTAAAGCCACATCTGAAAGGAACTCCCAATCATAAGTTACTATAATTCAAAACTTGGGTTTAAACTTAAGTGTGGATGTAATACTCAAGCTTGAAAGGCTGTGACATGGCTTACTTAGTACCAAAAATCCTTTAAGTCGGTGCTCTTTTGTCTCTTTTATATATCCTAAATATATTAAAACTCCTTTGAATTTATTTTTTTATCTTCATTTTTTATCCTAATAATTGCGCATACGTCCTTTCTATTAACAGCTTTCACATCCAATTATATTAGTAACATCCTTTGCTACGTTATACCAAATATTTATGGATGAATCTAATTCTCCACATGAACCAAACAATCTTAAGTAGTATTCTCATGTAGTATCATAAGATTTATTCCGTACATTTTATTATTTTACACGAGAACTTGAACATTTGGTCTTAACTATTCGAATGCTCTGGACAGGGTACGCAATTAAAATTCACAATATATGTAGCCTAATTGAAATTTTCGTAAAATACAAAATGAAAGTATTAAAACTTTTGCAAATTCAACCTTTTGAAAAGTTAGAACCCACTCTGAGGCGGCAGCTTATACTGTTTCCCTTGTGAGTAACTGAACCGTTACTGTGATTGTTTGTGTTTTATGAAAGTAAGGACTAGTCAATTAAAGAGTGAGACAGGTAGGTGTAAGCCCGGCTCCTCAGATTTTCAGGAAATCTTTGAAATATTCTCACTAACAGTTCAAATTTTAACAGGAAAATAGTTATTTGGGCACTGTAATATTTTATCTTATCAAATGTATAACCTTTTACTCTTATTTTAGTTTTACTTTCTGTGAAGTTTTATGGTAACATGCTAGTTTTAGACAATACTGTCACGTCTTTTAACAACTGCTAAAGCTTATCGGTGAATGGTATTGTGTTAATTTTAGTGGGTTGGCCAAAGTAGTAGTGTCAAAAGTGAAAAATCAATCTCTTAATCCATGCATATTCCTGAGAATGCATGGACATCATTGGTAGATAATTAAGTACATTTTTAGGTGGTTTATCAGAGTCAACACCAAATAAGTTCACCCACTCTTAAGCTGCGACAAATGATCCTCCATCCTGATTTTTGCATTTACTTTCCATGCTACAGTGACGTCAAACGATCATCTGTTACCGTCTAAAAGTGTGTAAATTGTTCTAGCGTAGACTCTGGAAAAGTTTTAAAAAAATATCAGAAAAGTATGAAAAATTCATCACAGATTTTTATGGCAGGCCTCCTTCATACTGTCATTGACAATTTCACGTAATCGAATTTAAGTGTATTTTTAATTCTAAAGTTTTCAACACTTGCTTTATCTCGTGGTTTTTCTGTCCCATACTTCAAAACATGTGATTGATTTTCATCATCTCAGAGCTTAAACTATTCTTTTTCCTACTAAACTAGTTCTCTTGTTTGTACTTAATAATTTTAACTAAGACTTTGCTCAGTTCATGCTGACAGTGTATTCTTATTTGCAAAAATTTGATCTTTGTTATTTTAATTCAGTTATAATTTATTTATTTTTATTCGCTCTTTAGTGTGCAAGATGAAAATTGAAAAATAAAAGCCATTTTGGATAAGATCCTCTTTCGAATTTTTTCTGTTAAATAGTCATTGGGATCGAGGGACCGCAGGGTAGAAAAAAAAAGAAGAAAAAAGTAGAACCTTTTAAAATCCGCCAAGACACCAATATGATAGCAAATTAACTGTACGATCACATATCACTGAGATCAAGAAGCAATGAAATCTTGCAGTGTCACAGAGAACATCCTTCATTTTGTCAGTCACAGATATGATTCCGGAAAGTCTGAACCATCTCTGTCACAATGAAATTGTCGCTTGGGGAATTTTTATGCTGGGAAATTGTACAGTAATGTCACCTTAAATTACAGAACAATATGAAGTAGTTAGAAATTATTTATGTGATAGAGTCAGGCAATAGGGCCCCAAGGTGGAAAAATAATATGCTAAAATAATGAGACTAAACCGTAGAGTAATTAATTCTGTATCATGAGGTGTTGAGAACATTAAAAAATTCCAAAAATTGACCCTCCACGAACAAATCAAAGTAATATAATAGGAAATCGCAATTTTGAGAAAAAACAGATTTATTTTGCTGGGCCTGTTGGCAGCTGTAGGAACGATTCAAAAGCTTGATCATTAATGCAATTATTACGGTTTAAAATTTTGACCCAACGCTCTTGATATTAATAGAACACGTTTGGCATCAATAATTGGGAATTGTCAATTTTGACCATGAATTGGTATTTTCGCTGCACTGAGCAATTTTAGTTTCCACCTTAAGGGCCATGTTGCTTGATATCTCTCAGATTGATTCCCTTTCAAACGTGACTAAATTGAGAGATTGCTGATAATGTCTAATTAAATTTTCATTAGTGTGAAACAAAAACCTAAACTAATTTTAAACAGTTCAGTAACCATTGTATAGGCTGATGAATGGAAACGGCACCTACATGATAAATCGCATCAAGAAATTTTAAGATCATTATTTTGGGATCCCAAATTTTGGGCTGAAACTTTCATTAGTTCATAGACCACAATTTTGCAAGATACACGGAGACAATTTACTGTTGCTTCCTCAACAATCCCATTTTTTTCATTTTTTTGGAGGGAGGAGGAGGAGTAGTCTAGAAAAAAGCTAATGATTTGCGTCAATTTCATAATTGGCAAATTTTTCAAAATCTTGGCATTTAGGATGATGATGATGGGACATTTGAGTGAAGAGAGGAAAAATAAATCAGTCCGATAAAAAGTATACTTGCTTTATTGATTCTGATTAGTAAAAATACAGTTAAAGTAATATGAAGAAAAGTGTGGTTCACACTTCTTCAAACTAAAAGATGAGGCAGCAGTGGTTGAAGATGTTAAGTTGCGCTTGTAATGACACATATGGTTCTCTCACTTAATTCTATTACAGCCATGTTCTTTTTACAAAATATTATTGTCAACATTTGAGGTGTTATTTTCACTCAGACATTTGTAATTTCAGAACTATTCACACTTTATAGGAGGGAAAGTATTTTTTCATAGCGACATGTACACAAAGTAGAAGATGAGATCTTGCACAATTACAGCTCCTGATGCAAGAGCTAAAAATGCAGATAAGACGGAATGAGCCAACAGTCGATTAGTAAAAAAGGTATACACAAAATTGCAATACAAAATTTCTTCAGACTGACTATGAGAGTCAGTGTTCTAACATTTTTTGTTCAAGCCTTTAGATATTAATGAAACAAGTTCTGAATGGATAAGTTTTTCCTTGCAACATTATGAAATTTTTGCAGCTAAACTCTTTTACATAAAATGACTTTATTATAACAGCTGTTGGTTTTATTCTTTTAAATTTAGAATTCTTTGGAAGAAAGGCATTTACATGAGAGATTAGCCCTTAGTGCAGGGAAAATTTCGGTTATGGAACAGAATTGTGATCACTGATCTACAGTTGAAACGCCAGTGGGTACTTTTTGCTCAATGAGATTTAATAACCGACTAATTTAGTTGAATATATAAGTTAGCATTTTAAATGATATTTTAAGCAGAACACAGCAATAAGATCATGGCAGCACCCGAGACCTTGTCTCTACTCCTATGAATCTACAGCTCCTTCGAATTTACAGAGAATCATGCATAGGGGAGGCGTCTTATGAGAGAAAACTTGCGCCAAAAGGCCGCTAACACTAAAGTTAATCATTAGGAAGTACCTACTAGCTTCATTTGTACATAGAAATTAGAAAATCACAGACTTAAAATAAGTAATTTCTTAAGACTCGGTGAGGTTTAATTTAAATATCTTTCCGCTTATTAAAAATTAGGTTCTGGTGAACTTCAAAAAAGGTATCCTCTACGGAAGATGTCAGATAAATAACTTTCTTGATGATCATGAATACAAAAAAAAAAAAAAAAAAAAAAATTACAAAAGTTGAGCATTCGCTTGTCTTTTACGCAACAAATTAAAAGAAAATTATGATTTTTGGATTTAGCCAAACTTGGGTTCAACTAATGATACATAATTACATTTTTCAAGTAAATGCTATGATTTCATATGTCGTTACAAGACTGAGACTTCGTCATATCATTTGAGTTCTGCTGGCGGAAGAGACTCTTCTGATACTTCCAATTATGATAATGAGGCAGAAATTTGAATTAACAAGTATCAGAATTAAAAAGATGTAAAAAGGCGAACATGAGGAAAAACTTACTTAAAATATAACAACTAGGAACTTGTTTGGAACTGAAATTCTAACAAGTTGAACAACAGATCAAGAATCCAGCACATTAGGAAGAGGCAAACTGTGGGTGGCTGAAATTTTGATCAAAAAATTGAGGATAACAGGAAAAATTGAAACATACATGTTAATTGGAAAACCATTATTCGGTTTTATAACTGACGACTGTGTTCATCTTATGCAAGGAAGTTGAGAATGATCGAAGTTGTAGCTCTTGGGAGTTGGCAATGAAGCATGGTCCGGTTTCATTCCACTCGGCAGGAACCTCACAGTCCGGTTTTGTGTAAATGTGTAGGTCAAACTCACAGGGGGCATCTAATAAGGGTAAGAAACTGACTGTTGAACAAATCTGTCGGAGAACATCTTTGATCTCTTTCTGTATGACTGTTAATTCTTTGTTGCCAACTAGTTCTCCATTTTCTTCTTTGACATTTTCTTTCTCATATTCAAGTCGAAAGTCCCACCTCTCAAGAACCTCTTTAGTTGAAGTATTGGTTACGACTAGGGATAACTTTTGGATTTTCTCTTGCATCAGCCAATCTGGAAGCAAAAGTAAACTGCAGTGAATAAAAAATAAACTTAGAGACTCAGATGACTATATCTAACGAAGCGTTAGGTGCCTATTACTTACACAGAGAATCTAAGGAACATACAATTTTTTACCTGGTCCAAGGCAATTGAGGGTTAGTCTATCATGAGCACTAAAATTTAAATCCATCTCAAGCCATGAGGAAACTTGCTGCTGGCCTCCACTCTTAACACCACAATTGTTATTGGGGCAAAAGGCACTTACCGTACAGGTCTGTTCAATGAAAACTCAATCTAAATTAAATGAGGCATTCCATTAAAATGAAGGAAACTTTGTTCGCAAAAAAATCTGTGCTGAATATTCATGTGTTTTAATTTAGCAGCTGACAAACAAATTTTGGCACTTCAAAAGTGAAAGGTTCCTCTATTATCATACCTCCTTCATTTCTGTGATTGATGTACGGCTACCTTAGAGTAAATTACTTCCTTAAAGGAGCAAGAGGCATCAATACTCAGTTTCTTTTGGTACAACTATAAACTCAGTGCCAAGATGCTGCTTAAATACCAGGTGGTAGTGTAAAGGTGAATAAAGAAAAAAATTGATTCAATTCATGGAGGTACATACGTATCCATAGAGGTGTCTTGTTAATGTTGCAAATACTGATATAGATCAGTATTTGCAACATTAACAAAACAATGCAACAATCAAAGTCACAGTTTTAAAAAATTAAATAAATAAATAACATACAAACCTTTCATCTGCGTAAGAACTGACTGAAGGAACTCATTGATTTTTTCATCGGTAGAGACCAAAATAGAAAGACCGAAATGCTCTTCAGCTTTGAATGATTCAGGAGGATAAATTCCACGTTGAAAAAGAATGCTATTGATTCCGTAATCTAAATACAGAAAAAAAGAGCAAAAAAATGTAAATGACCTAGGATGTACAAAGATACATTCATAATAAAAAACATAGTAATTATTCAAGATTGAATGGTAGAGCTTTCTCATCTGATGTTGAATCATATGCCAATCTTTGATTAATTCAGAAGCAGGACCACTACTCAAATTAACATGGACGTTCAGATGGCTACATTTTAAGTGTTAGAGCAAAGAACATTTGACTTTGATCTCAACTTCAGAAGAGCGAGCTCTAATATAAATAAATCATTTTTGATTGAAGCTTCCAAGCGGAGGAGAGTAAAATGGAATTAAAGGCTGTCGAAAAGATAAGTACCTCACCCTCTTTTTGAAATAGGTAATACTAACTCTTAGTCCTCTGCAGAAGAGTAAAAAAAAGTTATGCAATATTGGAGTTCCCAACTTAAAGAGCATTTTAGAGCTTTAGGATGCCCTTAATAACCTGCATAAGTACTGCTGAAAGGGTGCAGAAAAATGTTGTAAACAAGGGTTCATGAGGAGGGTATACTTGGGGTGCGATACGATAAGTCTGGAAAATCGGACGAGTAAACACCATAATCCAGAAAATGGCAACACAGCCACCCTCGAGACCACGACTCGGCTTGGTACAAGATAGCTGCCCATTGTTTCTCGCTTACCAGAATCTGACCCTCGAAATTTCTATCGCAGATTAGGCAGCTAGGGTGAAATTTTTTATTTTATCCAAAAATTTTTTTACAACATACATTTTTAGATTTGCAGTGAATTGGTGTTCAAACTAAGGAAAATACACGATTCTGCGGCATAAGAAGATTAATACTTCTTCTGCTAAATTTGCAACTTGCTGAACGGCATCTCCATTGTAAATTAACAAAGGTATCATAACGAAATTTAGTTCTTTATAGTCTCCTTATTTAGCAAAATGCAAGTTTACTTCATAAGAAAATTAAACTTGAAGCATATTTTAAAAATTTCATCTGATTTTTTTGGAGCTCAAGAGAGCAAGGGAGAAGAATGACGGATTAAGAGCCATTGCTGCCGTGCGGTCCATTGTTTAAAAGAGATCGGCATCGGCCGAGACGGGGTTGCGCTGATGTCAGCATGTGCCAGGAAAACCTCGGGTTCAGACATCACCGTATGGCGCCCCCAGTATAGTTGGAGCTTTGCTGGTCCCAGACTTGGTGAGGGCTTCTAATTTACACCATAAACACAAAAACTTAGGTAGGAACGAGTCCTGCTTCCGCATAAGTTTCTGCAATTATCCGAATCATGTCATCAAAAGAACTAGCAATATTATTGAAGTGGCTGACCTGAAGGTAAAATGCCAAAATCGAGTTGAAAATTGATAATTATGATAGATAGGTCTAAAATTTGGATTCTTAGTGAAACAACACTTTCTGTGATGATGATAAAGCATATACAAATAGTGCTACCTGCTGTTCGTAGACCTTTGCAGTTGCTGAATAAGCTAACAATGATTGTTAGATTGCCGTGCATTGTAAGGGGCAAGATATCGTTGCAAACAAAAGTGAACATACAAAAGTTTGAAGGCCAGTTAAATCGCCAATTTATTCAACGACCTCGCCAAAAAATAAATTGAAGTTCATTGAATGGCAGAAATTTTATGAGAATGCGGAGAATTCAAACGGCTTCACACGATAAGCATTTGAGTTCAGGAAGAAATTTAAACCTTGACGAAGATGATAGAAAAAGATGAATGAACCAAATCGATTGAAAGCGTGTTTCGAATCTTGGAAGAAAACATGATTAAGATGCATAAGTTGGAGTCTGATAAGCTAATAAGGTGAAGCATTGACTTACTCAAGTAATCTGTAACAAGTTTCGCGGATCCTTTCAAAGTTATAGCATTGCGGGTTTGCTGCTGCACAGCGGTCATCTTGACGACAGTTTTTACAAAAAACTAAACGAATTAGAAGAAGATTATGTGACTTGAAGTATTACAGAGACACGGCACGATAAGACAAATTGTCGGTGGAAATTGGAAAAATCACAACACAAAATTCTAACCTCACTCGGCAGGAGAAAGCATTTCTGAATTGGCGCCAAAACTGAGTTTAGTCGTACGATTGGTGGGTACACAGACCAATGAATGACCACTAAGAGGAGCCTGGAAAGAGCGGTCTCTTCGAAACAGATGCACGAACGGTTGAAAATGTACCTATATTTTGGACTTTCATTACGTCTTTTCCTCAAATTACTGAACTCACAATTCGCATGACATGATACATTCTTAACCCTTGGATGCCCAAGTCGTTGTTCATATCGACGGTGAAACTACCAAACCACGTATCTCGTTTGCGGTGTTTAAAAATCTACGCTCACATTTTATTTTTTTGAAGTAGACCAAATCAATATCATTCCTTGAAATTTTCACGGAATTTTCTCCACACAAAGAGGAAAAATCACAGAAATTTTCAAGACTGGATGTTAAGTAGTTTTTCATTTAAAAAATAAAGTATGACAGGAAGTCTGCGACGTCGCAAACCGAGATACGTGGTTTGGTAGTTTCACCGTCGATATGCTAAATCGGGTCAAATTGACCATTGATTTTGCGATAGCTTTTGAAGTGCTTATGAAGTATTAACTATGTTATTTTTATGTTTTTCAGGGTGAGAAATACTTTTTTTTTCTTAACTAACTTTCTCTTCTCTTTTGGAATATAAGCCAATAAATCATCAGAAGAAGAAGAAGAACTTTCTCTTCTGACCCCCTCCCCTCATCCGCTATATCGACGGTGAAACTTCCAAATCACGTATCTCGTTCGCAGTGTTTAAAAATCTCCACTTCCATTTTACTTTTTGACAGGTGAACGAATTAACATCATTCTTTGAGGTTTTCACAGAATTTTCTCTGCATCGACAGGAAAAATCATGGCAGTTTTTAACATTGGCTGTGGAGTAGTTTTCCATCTATAAAATAAAATACGGCAAAAATTCTGCAACGTCGCAAACCGCGATATGTGGTTTGGGAGTTTCACCGACGATATGTAATTAGACGTGCGCCCTTAAAGACGTTTGAGAGCTCTTTAATTTTTTTTTTTTTATTTTTTATTTTTTTTTTATTATTTTTTTTCAGTTTTCTTAATATAACTCCACCTCTTTTGGACGGCCGAACCAATGTAATATTAAATAAAAATTCCATGCGGAAAACGTTTGCCCAATGCGAGATTAGAACAATCATTGTAATTCCTGATCTTATGTAGTAGAAAAAAAATAATAAAAATTATAAGTAAGGCTAAAAACATCAAAGTCAGTACGCAGAACGTAGGGAGAAACGTTGTCTTTTGAGACATTTTACTTATTTCGTAAAGCAAACAAGGCCGGATTTAGGGGGTGGCCATATGGGCCGCGGCCCATGGCGGCAAGTTTTGCAATTTGTTTTATAAAAAAAATCGGATTTAGAAACAAAATTACAAACTAGAAAAGGCGACACAATCTCTAATTTCCTGAGAGTATAGTAATTTCTAATTTTGTTGTCTATCGGTGATACAAGAGACAGTACCTTTAATTATTCGAGTTAAGAGAGAAACCAAACACGCAATTTAGCCTGGAGCGGCGCGGCGCAGAGAGAAATGATAACGAGGACTTGAGATGAAAAGGAGAAGCCCGGCGCGGCGCAGCGGTCAGCATGTAACACATATTAGCGCCTACAAACTGCATGCATACTTCACGCATTGCGTCAAACACAGTGCAGTCGGCGTGAAATACATAGCGCCCACAAGATTGCATGAATACTTCACGCATTGCGCCAAAGACAGTGCGGCAGCGCAAGGTGGATCGAGTCAATGGGAGGGGTCGGTCATCGCGCATCACGAGTCTTATTTTCTCTAATTACAGAGATTTCCCGCCCTTAGAATAGAGCAAATTACCCCTACCGTACGTATCTTCCGTCGTAGATTCCATTTTTGATCATATTTCAGCCGAATAACGAATTTTAATACGATTTTGACACACTTGTTCATGACTATTGGAAATGGGTTCCGTTAGCTTACATGTAGCTTATTTTTCACGTTACTTTCGGCAAATAGGGCCAGAAGCGGCTCACATATAAGCAACCATTTTGCAAAACTTGACTCAAATACATTATCTGAGGAGTGGGGGGGGGGGGAGGTTCACAGCCTCCTCACCATTTAGGTTATCATATTTCCTTCATTTTCTTCTAATATCGTTTTTTGTTCATGGTACCTAATTGGTTTCTCACAATTGCATACTTACACATAAGGAACATTCCGACAGCGTTCTTTATTTCCTATTTTTTCCTCCAGCCAATAAATATATGTTTTCATTCATATCGTATGAACTCCCTCCCTTTTCAGTGAGTCAACAAGTGTGAATATTTAAAAAAAAATAGAATTATATATGTATCAAAAAGATATTAATACCATTGCTTCTTTTTATGGAGTCAGTCTTGAAGATTATTATATGTACTTACCACAATACCTACATGAAAAATGGAATGTACAGTTAAAAAAGAAAAGAAAAAAAAATCCTAAGAAACCGGGACCAAATGGTTCAGATTCTTCACTTTCAGGTTTTGATAGATTAAATGTGTTTTTTAACCAAGAATCAAATTTCTTCAGAAAATAATCCTTATTTTTGAATGCACCTTTCCACTTTATAATTAGTTTTGAGCAAAACAGTCGGCACTGCTCTAATAAAGCACCATTGTCAAATGATGTTTTGTAGTTTTTTTTTAATACAAAAAACCAGCTAATTATGATCGTTCATCGATTTTTGATTCGAATACAGCTCAAGAAAAAGTTCCAGGTGCGTTGTAGACATTGTTTGAGAAACGGGACATGACTGCAGAAAACATAAAACGTAAACTTTATCGCACACGGTTTCGCACTTGGTTGAATTAGCTTCATAGACTTACAGGAGGTTAATGTCTCGTCAAAACACCAACAAATCAGCCTAAATCAGTAATCAGTAGAAAAATTACCGAGATTGAGAGATATCGTGTGATGCACGATTTTATTGATTACATTGGAGCAAGATCGGTTCCAAGCATTTCCTATCATTCAAATGGACCGTTTTCGCAGATTAGCGGATGTTAGCGGCTAATTATTACATAATATTATTCCTGATAGTGGACAAGAAGCAACCCAACAAAGGATCTTGTGGACACTTTTTTATCGAGCTATCTTAACATTTTTTGGGCGTGTTTTTGAAGCAAGTTTTGGAGGTAGTTTTGGTCCTCTTAAAAATATGCCAATGCACATTAATTATATACCAAAATATCCCTTAAAGGGAGGAGAATAAGCATGCCTAATTAAAACTTTGATTCATCTGCCACAGAACTCATGCAAAAGCGAAATAACACCTTGAGAATCAGAAAGCAAAGATACCACCTGCAATGCCAGCTGTAGGCAACCCGCATGTCAAAGCGGAAGGGTTCAAAGACCCTTGAACCATAGATACATTCATTTTGGAAGCTTAACTACTAGAAAATCAAGAAAAAGTATTTGAAATCCGACCTTTTTTTTTCGTCGCCCATGACCGACCTCTACCATTGACTCGATCCACCGTGCAGCGCGGCGCGGGAGCGGAAGTTAGAATTCCTAAACCAAATTTATGTTTGTTCTTTCATAATTTTTTCGTTCATTTCTTACAAATTGAAAGCCTTGTCCACACAGAGATGAAGGTTTACGGAACTTAACTTTTGCGCAAAGTTCCGTGAACTTTTGCTAATAGTGTTGACAGGGCTTTCCCAAAAAATGTGTCCAATACGAGTAAACACGTCTTATGCACCCCTCCCCCTCCGGCACGTTCACTTGATGGTTTTTATTAATGAATCAAAGCGAATGAGAAGGGGGCGGCCAAATACAGGCTGCCCATGGGCGACAAGTACGTAAAGCTGGCTCTGAAAGCAAATTAAAATTGAAGGTGCGATGATGCGAGACGTTTATGCTCCGCTCTATGCTGCGAAAGAGGTGTCACTCAAATAATACGATAGAAAAATTAAAACACGAGGCCATATTACATCTCTCCTGTCTCCTGCTGTGTCACTCACGTATCCTGAAAGCACCGCTACAAATAAAACAAACGGAACCAACACAATGTGGAAATAGAGCAAGGGAAAAGACGCGCGCTGATAACGGCGCAGAGATACAACTATTCGTACTTGATGGATGTCCGTGTTGTATTTGCAAAATTGAAGGCGCGATGGCACGAGGCGTGAACTCGCGATGCCCCGCTCTACGCTTCCAATGAGGGGTCGCGCCGGTCAGATTCGGAAATAAAGTTAAATAACGAGACCCGTGGGCTTATTATTGACATTGATAGACACAACTATAGACAAAGGAGACATAGGGGGTTTGGAGCGATCCTATTAGTTATTTATGGTTCTCATAGACTATATAAGGGAGAAAATTATGCACTAACTGTCGGGTTTCTCGTTGGCTGCCTTTAGTTAGTCTATTACCTACTGCCTTTGTCCATTGCAACCACCAGCTTTCACCAAGGTTCCGTACATATCCCTTTTGTCATCTTTGTCTATCGTTTTCAATAATCGGCCCGCCGATTAGGTCTCGCATATCTTCGGCTGTGTTAACACTCCAGAGGAGCACTCCTTGCAGCTTTGTGTTTTTCGCTGACAGCTCCGCGGAGTGATTTCCGTAATCGATAATGGCGGTAAATACATCGAATTTTTAAACTCCCCGAGACAACACTTTTGCATATCCAATGAAATTATTAAACCCTGGAAACAGGGATCGAGATAAAATAAACGAACGAAAGCAAAAGGGTAGTGAATGAAGTTTTGGGTCTGCCGGATAGAGCCACAAAAATATATGGGGAATGTACAAAGAAGTTTGGAATTAAAGTTGAAATCTAGCGAATTAGTAAGGCGTTGACTTATACCTACTCAAATAATCTGAGATTAGTTCCGTTGATCCTTTAAGAATACACACAAAATTTTCTGGTCGGGTGATCCGACGGCTTCTTTTACGGGCCTCCATATTCGAGAAAAAGCGCGGGATCCTTTACAGATTGAAAATTTACTCACAGTCCTATGCTAATATATTAATTTAGGGTCTAGGGCAAAGGAAGGATCATCAGTCCTTGCTCTAGTCTGTGTATTACTTTTATGATAATTACATTAATTTTAAATCGAAGAGGAATATGTTGATGTCTCTCATCGACACAACCCTGGAAATGTACAAAATCCTCAGTTTCCTCAGTAAACTCAGAATTGGTTATTTTTTTCTCCCAAACACTCGGTGAGTATGTTGCACAGGAAAACTGTCAGAATTGAAAAATCACAAAAAATAGAATTAAGAGAGATCGCCGAAGACTTTCACTTTAAAACAGCAAATAAAGAAAAATAAACCATAATACGCACTCAACGTTTAATTTCGGATTGTTGTCGACTCTTAACGAATTATGACTTGTTCTGCGAGAATTTCAAATCAAAATAAATACTGCTGCATTACTTATCTGATGGCGGCAAGTCTAGTCGTTCTAATTTCGATCAGGAGCATTGATAACATTTTGCTTCCTCTTCCTACATAAGATCAAATATAGGACGAATTAAATTTGAAGGTTCTCTGATAAAATATGCTTAGCAAAGGAGAATATGGTTATTTATACACAGTTAACCAGCGTCCAGTGATCTGGTTTAAGGAGTTCCAGGTCCAGCGATCTGGGTCTGGTTTAATGTACTCCAAAATTTCTGAAAAATAATTTGCTCTCCAAAAACAATGTACTTGTATATAACTGTATGCACAAGCTTAGCAGTATTGCTGACTGTACACGCGGAAGTACCAAAAAAAAAAACTATTCAATCATCGCCGACCACCGGGAATTCTCGGCTGCGGCCCGCGGCGCCAGAAAGATTCAAGCGCCTTCAATTTTTGCAAAGCAACACAGACAGCTGCTACGCAGCTATAGTTGTATCTCGCGCTTCAGCGGGCGTTCTGTTAGCTTAGCTTTGTCCGTCTGACTCTCCGAACTTTTGGGTGAGTATGTGTATCTATCCCTGCATTCCCCTACCTCGTTTCATCAATCATCTCTTAGACAGTAAGTACAACACATTTCATTCTACATTGTAGGTCTATAAATATTATGTTATGATAAATTATGTAACATGCAAACGTGAGTAAATATAAAACTCAAGGAATACAAATTTTAAAACGTGCCTTCTTATTTGATGAAAATGTCTCGTAATCACTAGCTAAGCGGTCCATCGCGCTGCAACATTCACACTATGCAAGCTCAAACTAGACTCTGATTATCTTTGTAAATCCGTAGTATTTGTAGACAAGCAGTATCTACCGAAAAAGAACCAAATATTCAAATTGAAAAAATCGATGTTTTAAGCTAATAGTTGAGGATAGTTTTGCACTCGCCTAGAAGCACAAATTCTCCTTCCAAAAACGAATGCCTCCAAAAAACATTTAGTATGCAAAAAAGAAGTTTGTGCTTTACATTCAGTCTTCTGAAGGATGAAAATTCAATTCCATTTTTCACCGTTTCAAGTTCAAGTCATTTGAGTACCTTTTGATGGACACTGCCCTTGTTGACTATGCTAATTTTTGTGGAAAAGAACTGACAAACGATGTTAAAAAAGCAAAAATATATTCTAAGTTTTAATCTTCTTAAAAATGAAGTGCGTACAAAATAAAATTTAGGCCCGTGGTGGCAACATCACAAGTTCTTTGTGGGCTTCAGTATATTGGCAGAAGAAAGTCAGGTGCCCGAGCTACAATTTGTACATGCTTTCATTTATTATTCTGTTTCTGCTTCCCAGTCTCTAAAGTAACAAAAAATTAACGGAAAGTAATGAAAAACAAAATAATGAATAACAAAAACACGAGCATTCATGAAAATGAGATTGCAAATCCAAATAAGAAAGAAAAGAAAAGAAAAGAGACCAGACATCTATACTAAGGTGGACCTTGTGTTAAGTGGGGAGACATGAAGACTACGAAATAAATGAAGGAAAATGAGAAAAGGAAAAAGGGAACGTAAAGGATGTGCTTCAATTTGGAACCATCAAGAAAACATCTATAAATTATATATGTAATGAAATTTAGGTAAAATATTAAGAAGAGTTGAAAGGATAGGGGAGGGGGGATCGAGGGAGGTTAAGAAAAAAAATTATTAAATCTCAATTATTTGTTTTTTAAAACAATACCTCAGTACTTGATTCTGTTAAACTCAGCCCAACCGATAAAAAATTACCATAGGGATAATTGTAAGAAACCATTCACCTTAACATTCGAGAGAAGACCATGTTCACTATTGACGCCAAACACAAAGTACTTGCTTGAAGAAGAGTATTTCGTCAAGATGAATCCCTCGTGCACGTAAATAAGGAAATTCCGAAAATCTAAAGGGAAAAAATGTATACGAGGAACTGGCAACCAGACTGCTCGTGATCAATCTTGTCAAAGCCGCCGCGACTTTGAAACGAACGAATTCTGGGGATTTTTTCGCCCGAATATGTACGTATATGTAGCACTTTACTTTCATTATGACGAACATGTTGCGCCCCGCTCTCCCGTTGAGCTGGCACGTCCGAGTCACAGATCTACGATGGAAACAGCGATGGCGATAACAGATTAAACCAGTCCATTGATTCAGAGCTTTCGGATTAATTAGACGCGATCAAGTTTTTTAATGAGCAAAAAATACCGGCTCCGGCCAGCCGGATCCAACCCGAAAGAGGATCAGTTCCATTTGACAGAAACCTAAAAAAGAAATTCAATACCTACTCATCGAGCGCCATGCGTTGTAACAGCCAGCTCCCATCCCTCCTCCCTTCAGCTCGACTCTTTAGTTTTTATTCCGTGCAGTTGGTTAAATTGCCCAATTTAAGCTCTGTAAACATATTTTAACTGTCCGTTCAGTGGCGTGGCGTGCTTTGCGATATATTGATTGATCCGTCATTTAAACCTATGGAAAAGGATCGATAAAGAGAGTGTTCGCAACGAACACCTTATATAGAAATCGATTCTTTACCATAGTTTCAAATGGAGAAATATCGAGAATCGATCATTCTCGCCTCGCCACTGTGTCAGTTGTCAACTAAACACGATGCTTTCGAAAGAAAATCTTTTGGATGCAGAGTCCAGACTCTCAAAAAATTTGAGAAGAAAAAATACCCTTGTTTCAATCGGATTTTCGCTCAAATTAAGGGGAAATCTGATAATTTGAAGATGCTTGGCTCTCAATTTAAGCAAACACTTGATGGAATCAAGGGTATTCTTTTTTCCAGTGTGGCATGCATTGGACGATGAGTGAAGGCCTCAAAACTTATCTGTTACGCAAATGACAATTAATTCTAATAAAATCCCATAGAAGTAAATGTAATACTGCCTTTGGATTTGGGTTTAAAAGCTAAAAGTCGTTTGAAGTGGGTTTAGTTTCACATTAAAAAATACAAGATGCGGCGGTTTCAGGAGAGGAAGAGTAGAGCGTAATATAATTTTCATTAATATGTTTATCAGACTTTATTGTGCTGCATTTTCCCTATTGCACCTGGAAAACCGTATTATTACAGATTTCATTTCGCACTGAATTTTGTCGAAAGACGAATTGCCATCTTTTTTGTTCCGAATTCCGTGCGATTTATCAGGATTACTCTTAAAAAATTCCGTACTTAAACGTAAAAATTACTTTTCCCACAGGAGGAAAATAATCCAAAAAGAGATGAAAAAAGTAAAGAAAACTCTACTCATCATACTCGAATACCTATTTTTTTTTTTTTTTGCGATTTCGACGGTCGGCAAGGTAGTAAGTAATGCATTTCTTGGAAAATTGACAATGTCGCGATAAATATCAATAATACTTAACTTCATCGTCACAATATAGAACGATGGAATTAAGTTAAGATGTACTAAAAGAAACAATCAAAGCACTTTCAGTCGCATGCGACGAATTCGAAACGAAGTTCACTATAACGCCTGGACGCAACTATTCGAACTCTACGAATGTCCGCGTTGCATACGCACGGAAGAGAAGGCGTTTTGACTGTCCAGGCATTCACCACTTCAACTGCGGGCTCGACAAAGTGAGACAATGGCAGGAGTTGGACAAAATATGGATACTTTGTAGGCTTAATTCGGAACGTAGAGGTTTTAGAAGTGGTCTCGTTGATTTTCTTGCAAAATTTCCTTAGAGAACCTCATATAATTTATTATGTGAAGAAATTAATATCATAATTTGCAGTTTCAGTCAAAAATTTCACGTTCAGCATTTCTCAAAAACTCGTTCCTACTTGCGGCGGGCTTTACTGTGAGGAGCTAAAATGACTGAGTGCTTTCAATTCTTCATGTACACTTCGAAGACATCTCTTAGGCACGAATAGTTGATCTACAAATCATTCTCAGCACATACATGGCGATGTCAAAAGTGAAGTACAGAAGATGCTCACATCCTACGTCTTCATGCAACTATTCGTGCCTAGAAGATATCCTAATTGTAGTATAAACGAAGAATTATAAGCGCTCTACCATTTTGGATCCTCGCAGTAAAGCTCGCCGTTGGCGCGAGTTGAAGTGGTGAATGCATGGACAGTCAAAACGCCTTCGCTTCCATGCGTATGCAACGCGGACATCCATGGAGCTCGAATAGTTGTATCCACGAGTTAAAATGAGTTTTCGTCGGAAACGACGCTAACTAAGGGGGGCCTCAATTGTTTCTCGTTTCTTTTCTCAAATAAACAGATAGTCATATTCTGACTTTAAATTTCTACTGTATGGTGGAAAATGTTTTTCAGTGACAACCTGTTTTACGATCAATTACAAAGTTCATTCAAAGTTAAACTAATACATTTTAAGGTACAATTTAACGTGATTACTTCACGTCAGGGAAAAGTATGATGTGAAATGATTTTTTTTTACCTATTTTAAATCCAGAAAGTGACCTATATCATCATTTATAAACTCAACAACTTAATTTCTTGGTATTTGTGTCTATTTTGTTCGTCTATTGGTGGAACTATTTTGATTATAACAAATTAAATTATTTTTATTCAGCCAAAAATAATATATTAACAGTATTTGACACTGTGCTTAAAAAACAGAGCTGGCCGAATGTGAAACTGTCAAATGCGTTGAGTGTAGTGCTTTTGAATTATTTTCATATACCTATTCTTGTATATTTTTACTGCGGGGTAAAAGGAATCCAAGTTTTTACCGTTTTCATACGGTACGCAATAGTAAGTCCTCACTGCGCTATGGCCGGAGACTCAAATGCAGCGCACAAAAAACAACTGTAGAACCAAAAAGCCTCACCCAGACAATAGATCAAAGATTTCTCGCGAGTTTGCTTCGTAACTTGAAACAAAATCTTTCCCTAGGAAAATTTTGTAGGGGAATTGTTGACCAGTTCGCCTACGGACAAACAATGGAATTACTGTAAAATCACGACGAAGCCAGAGAG